ATTTAAAGCTCTTTGTGATGAAAATGGGAGGCATATTATTTTCATAACTGTATGTTTAATTAAACGTATTACAAAGAGCCTACCATTCATGTAGCGCTCCGCGCGTCGTTCTGTTAGTTTTGCTCCATCTTTACTGGCAGGCGCTCGTGTTCTACGTCTACGGAAGACTGAATATTACGCGAGTTAAAATGTGATATCAGGATGCAGTTTACGTGTTTGTTACATTTATATGTATATAATATATGAAATTAAAGATGTCTTTACCAGGCAGTGTCACGATTTACCAAGTTAATTGATATATAAGACATTTATTTTCATCTAACAAACTTTGATAAACGCATATTGGATAAATCTTAAAGTGTTTCTTAGCGGTTCCATTACGCATTTTCAGTACGCGTAAGGTAAGTCAATAAAGATAATGGGGAAAATATTGAACTTCTAAAAATACTTATTTTACATTACATTTTACGTTTGTAAAATTATTTTAATTATTATGTTAATATATTTAAAAAGTAAAGAATATTTTACGCTAAATAGTATAATGCTAATTTGTTAATTACTACATATTTTTATATACATATCAATAATTGATTTAAAAACCAGATGAATAATAAATATTATAATTAAGTTTCTCACTTATCTAAACATAACAATATACTTAAGAATTATTTTTCCAAATGAAACGACTTCTATTTACATTATATTCCTAAAAACCATAATGTATTATTATTTCCTCGTATGTGTTAATACATTTACCACTTGAAACTGAGACTTTATATTACATACATAAGGTATAATTCTCAACAGAAAATTAAATATTTACATAGATAGAAGTTTGTTAGCGTAAAAGATCACACAATTCTTTTACAACCTACTTATGATTTATCTAATTAGCATATGAATTATAATTGCCTACTAGTGGCTTATATCTAAAAGAATACAGTATACAATTACGCGCCAAAACCTAATTAAAAAAATAAAACTTCAAACCACAATGGTTATTTACTTTTAAATTTTAAATTCGAATTGAAATTAATAGTTGGCTGGTAGTCCTCGAGTTTGAATCGCGCCAAACGGAAATATATGCACAAAGTGAAACATTTATTCTAAATTCAAATAGAAAAGAAATAATTGGCCATTTTCTGACTTTTAGTATGAATATTTAATTTTGTTTGAAAATAACTTGTTGAGTGAAAGAGTAGTAGGTGCATTTGAATTCATATATCTACGTAGTACATACATAATATCTATTACATAAATATATATATTTGTATACTTACTTATTGGGATTCCTAGTAAGTAGGCATACCCAGAAAAACCCTGTTATATTTTAATAATTTCGTTACATTTAGATTACAAAATTTTTTGCTCTCTCATTCTCACACCGTCGTGTTTGGACGGTCCGTATAGATTTCCGCCGGGACATGTCCATTCCCGGCGAGACATTGGAATTACTTATTCAAAAATATATCTTCTTGTTGTTAGTGAAAATTGGAAATAAATTAATAATTGGAATTTTAACGCTAACACCAAGGAATAGTACTAAAGATACCATTAATATGACTAATAATAATGTATTCTTCTTAGAGGAAAATATATATTATATTATATATAATATAGGTGATATTTAAATAACTTGGAGCTCTAGACAAGAATAGAATAGAAAATAGAAGCGCTTTTAAATAGTGCTGTTTGTTTTAAATAGCTTTTAAACATTACTTATTTTTTTAATCTACCAGTGTTTCCGATAACTGCCACTAGAAGCACAAGCGATAAACTTGAATGTTGTTTTTTTAAATGATTTAGTTTTAACTTTACATTTTAAAGTTAAAATGTGAGAATACAAAATACCAACTAGCACTAATTCATTATTAAAATATAAAAAAATACAACCAAATGTTTCAGTAACTAAATAAAAGTAAATCAGTCGTGATTAGAGTAGACCAGTCCTACAAGCAGAATTCCCTCACTACTATGACAGACATGATTGATTAACTTAAAAAAACACTAAATTTTCTACAGCAGCCTAATAGGCAACACTAGCCTTTTGACAAAAATAAAAAATAAACACTACGCGGCGCGTGGTGGCGCGAAAATTTATAATAAGTAGTTCTTTTTTTGAAAAGTGTCGGACTCCCATAAGTTTTTAGATGTAGCCCCCGCTGAGAATATTATGTTATATCTAGTACCCAATACAATGTGCGTGAATAATTTCTGAACATTGTTTAGTCCTAGATATAATATTTCTTATTATTCTTCTGATTATTATATTATTGAAATGACTAACTAAAGGATTACCTGTTTAAAAGTAGGAAAGAATTAGATTCTACCAGAAGACTGTCAACAGCACGTAATTATTAATAATACAAAATTTGAATTCTGTCGCTAGCAGATCCCTTAACAAGACATGTTCTTGTTCGTAGTGTGAGGGCATAGCAGAGACATTAAACATTATAGAGACGTGACAATTTAATCTACAGGACTTTAATTATGTAAAGTTAGTACAGAACAAGTTCTCTATACTAATATTATAAAGAGGTAAATTTTGTATGTTTGTTCGTAAGGGGTAATATCCGTTTCTACAGAATCGATTTTAAAAATTCTATCACTGAAAACTATATTATCCCTGAGTGCTATAAGCTATTACATATATTATATGTAACGACCAATAGGAGTGGAGCAGCAATGAAAAATGTAGCAAAAAATATTCATTGTGAGTGCTTTCGCTGCGTGTTAAAAGTTACGCACGTAATATGTATGACGGAAATTTGGAGAACATAAACTTATTTAAAAGTTCTAAAAAGAGTTTGCGACAACACGTGTCTATATTTTAAGGCCATTTTATTGTAATCAAATTTCTTATAAAATAATGTATTATTTGCTAACGTGGTTTTATAAACATGGTTTTAATCCTTATCTAAATAAATATGTTACATGTTATAAGTATTTAATTTTGAACAAAATTGTCCTTCACATCTTAGTTTTAATTAAAGAACCTTAGTTATAGTGTACTAATTTTCAAATTCTTATAAAAATAAATAGCTATATCAAAATAGAATAATGGGCCCGTGCGAAGCCGGGGCTGGTTGTTAGTTGAAAATATATTAAAATGTATAATTTTGCTTATGTACGGATCATTTCATAGTTGGAAATCGTATAACGTATATTGCAAGTGCAACTTTCAAATGGTTCATATATATTGTGGAAGCTTACGTATCGATTTCAATTTGTAACAAAAGCGAATTGTTAGTAACAGAGTTATATAATGGCCTGGAATAGTAATGTATTAGAGAGGAATCACGTCACAATATATATTATAATTCAAATCAAATCAAATCAAAACATCTTTATTCATTTAGGTCTATTACAGACTCTTATTTATTCAGATTTTATCCGAATTTTTATTAATACAAGGGTAAGCATTAGGTATGACTATCTGAGCATCTATAATAGATGCTCTGTGGTTACCACAGATTACTAAATGTGACACGGATCGGATCCGTAAATGCTCATTATTGGAATATAAACGTAGACTAGGCTGTACGGTCTAAGCATCTTTGCCTGTTCCATCACTGAAAAGGAGATGGACGAATATGGGAAAAAAATCATTATTGGAATGTGTTAGCAGGATGACGTCACAAACGTTGAAAATTGAATCGCGCTCTCTCTGCACGACGCCGTCTGAAAGATGCGATCAACCGGTCACTGTGAAAGTGGGATGTCTTCATATCAACCCTGCTACTAGGTAAGTAATTTACTTTTTTTATGTTATGAACTGGAAGAACGCTTTTTTGCCATTTCAAAAAAAAAGGCAAGGTAATTTTCATAGAATATGTTGTTAAACCGTGGACCGACGATCTGGTAAAGATCGCTACAAAGCGTTGGTTGCGAGCAGCGCAGGTTGATCGTCGTGGAGATTTTTGAGGGAAGTTCAGCAGTGGACGTCTTCCGGGCTGAAATGATGATGATGATGTAGTTAAATAATTACGCTCATGAGCGTAATTCAGGCTGATACTAAAAAAATATCTTCTCTACAGTAAAGGAGACCCCGATATGAAACCAAACGAGGGGAAGGGGATTTTTAGTTTGACCTCCACGAGGTTCCCCCTGGAAACCATAGTGATATATTCATGGTGAATTTACTAAGATGAGCTGACCTCATCTAAACCATGAATGGTACACTCGCCTGTGCTAATCGTTTATGCTCTCGAGGCACCAGTGGAAGATGATATGTATATATGAGATCAGGTTAGTTAGCCCATCGTGACAAATTTACCAGAAATTTATCATGATGGTTTCCATAGAGGGGACGATTTGCTAGCAATGTACAGGACATTGCAATAGGGTCAACAGTTTACATTACTAACCATCCCGTTTCCTCCTGAGGACTGAATTGGCTGGTTAAAAGTGAGACACGCTCCGTGGTGAGGTAAATGTATGTATTGAGCTTCAAAAGAAAAAAAACGTAGTATCGCGGCATTACGCAAACAATCGCTATAAAAAAAGAAATATAACCTCAAAATATAGAATACAATAACAATAGTTGTGTTGTCCTATAATAAACAATACTGTAAAAATGAATAAACATACCGTGTTTGTTTTTTATGTAGGCTAAATAAAATAATAAATGTGCTACCTGCACACCTTACTACCTTACTAGTTCCGGGGAGAGGGTACCTCCTCTCTCCGGAACTAGTAACTAGTAAGTGGCAGTGGCGGACTAAGGCTAAAGGCGGCTCTGGGCAAATTTTTCTGTTAAATAAAAATAAAAATTTATAATAAAAATAAAAACAAAAATTTAATTTTTGGACCCGTAAAATTACGTACCTTACGCACGTGACTAGATTGCCTAGGCCTTCGTCCGCGCCTAGTGGGGAAGTAAATAAAACGTTTAACCTTTTTTCCCTGTGTCTTGCAGACGCGGCCGCAGAGTTTTTCTGCTACAGATGCTTGTACTCTGTTTCGTACCACATGCGGCGCTGGTTGCTCAGAACTGCGAGATTATAACACAGCTGTCCAGTACACTGGACTCTTCTTTGTACTTGGATTCTGAGGTTAGTGATAAATAGGCGGCCCCGGTGGTCTAGCGGTTTAGCGCATGACTTACTTTCAAGAGTCGCGCATTCAATTCCTCTCACGATGCAAATATTCAAGAGTAATATTGACGGGCTCGGTGATCTAGCGGTTTAGCTTTCCGATGGTCGCGGGTTCGATTCCACGCACGGTACAAACATTTGTATACATGAGTAAGATTAAATTGGTCTGGGTGTTTTTTACATCTGTTATTAATGTATTTACTAAGAGAAAGTTTTTAAGTATTTCTATCATTTGTTTAGTATCTACCTATAAGATAAGCACTACTTAGCTTGAGACTACATGTTCCTGTGTGACTTATCCGGAGTTATTATAATTTTTCCATAATTATCTAATTTTATTTCAATAACCACAATAAGTATATATACAAATTCGTAATACTCTCCAAAATAGAGAAGATAACATATATATATTACGTATTATATTGAATACCTCGTGGAAATTCCACATATTCGCACCAAGCGGGTCACGTCGTCATTTTTAATACGCTCTGCCAAAAGTGGAACACAGTTATCGTGTTCCCGGAGAAATACAACCCCGGATTCTTCAAGTCTATGGTGAATAGATATCTTCTGACAAAGTGAAGACATCATAATTTCCCATCAGAAGAGGTAAGACCAACGCAAACCCATTCATAATAATAAAAAAGAAATGATCCTTCGAGCCGGATTTGAACGTGCCAATTGTGGTTTGTATTGGTGTATAACCTAACATATCTTTTACGACTAACCTATATATTATTACATAGTTACTATCCAAGAGGTGTTTCAGAATCAAAGAACAATAGTGTGTAGAGTACTAATACAATACTCTACAGCCCATAGCGTTTAAATAAGAGCTGTAAAACTACAACCCGTAGGTACTAATTACATTATCATTATGTTTCTTGTTACTTTTGTTACAATTAACGTTGGTACCGAGTGTTGAATACTTGGCTATTCATTAGCGCTATGTCTAACATGTACATTGTTAGTCATTTCATTGAGAGATATAATTTGAGACTGACGGCCTCGGTGGTCTAGAGGTTTTACTTCCGATGGTCGTGAGTTCAATTCCTCGCACGGCACAAACATTTGTTTGTATTCATGAGATGTCTAACATGAACATTGGACAAGAGATATAATTTGAGACTCACGACCTCAGTCGTATAGCGGTTTAGCAGCCAGGCTGAGTTCGATTTTTCGCATTGCAAAAACATTTGTATTCATGAGTATGATTGTTTGTATCGGTCTGGGTGTTTTCTATGTATATTATGTATGTATTTGTATCAGTTATCTAGTACCTATAATACAAGATTTAGGTAGCGCTGTGAAAAAGAAAGGGACTACTAGTATTCGTAATTGTCTTGTTAATTGAATGAATCTTTGTGAACCGGTTGGAATTAAACTCAAAATTTAGAGCATAGCATGCCATAACATACTAATGAAAACTGTACCAAAATCGGTTATGCCGTTTTTGAGATCGCATATGATCGGCACATGAATGCATAGATAAATAGAAAAACATACAGACAAAAACATTTTCGCGCTAACAATATTAATATATACGAGTAGTATGGGTTTTCTTTAATAATATAATCATTCAATTTTCCCCAGGGTCGGATTAACCATTAGGTAGGCAACTGCCTAGGGGGCCCTATCCAATAAGCAGCCCTAGGCAGTTAATAAAGAATTAAATAGGAAAATTTATATCCACAATGGCGATACTCATTATTTTATTGCTTTCATTTTGACGATAATATATATATATGACACTAGCTGTGCCCGCGGCTTCGTTCGCAGTACACGCAACGGAAGCCCTCAAATATGAATAATTTTCCCAGTTTTTAATTTTTCACTGATGCTTCGCTTCTATTGATCGTAGCGTAATGTTATATAGCTTATATAGCCTTCCTCGACAAATGGACTATCCAACACAAAAATATTTTTTCAATTCGAACAAGTAATTAATGAGATTAGCGCGTTCAAACAAACAAACTCTTCCGCTTTATAATATTAGTATAAATTGAGAGACTTGTTCGACACAGTTTTTACATATGATTGGACCCCAAAAAGTATTGCCTAAGGGCCCTGACATATTCAATCCGGCACTGTTTACTTACGTTTGAAGTACGTATTGAAACGATGCAATGTCTATTTGTTACACAGTCTGTAGATATAGGATCTGTAGCCTAAGTGACAATGTGCTTGCGGAGGCGTTATTGGAAAATTGATAGGGTTCATATGAGTTTTTCATGTTACATTACTACCGAGTAAGCTTCTGTCTATTCTCATTTAGAACTCTGTACGGAATTTGACTAAACTGCGTACACAAATCTCTAAGAAATATTAGAATAAAAGACGTTTATAAAGTATTATTTAAGCATCAGGAGTCTTTACGATAAATATTTTTACTAGATTTATTTTTTAACCATCACCTACTCTGGCCACGCTCATAAATTCAGAATGTATACTTTAGCATAAGCTAGTTACCACAGTCCTGATTTTCGCCGAAGTGCGAAGCCACGTCCGTAAATATGTACAGCTAAATAAAAATCAATTAAGAATGAGACCTCTTTATAAATATAATATCATCATTAAACGATTACTTACTTGGGACAAATCATTAGTATCAAAAATATAATGAACAAAGAAATAGACATAAGAACTGAAAAGGCTTGGAAACAATACTGGTCGTTCAAAGAAATAATGAAAGATAACAAAATACAAGACAATACAAGAGAACAAGAAATCAAACTAAGAACTTGAATCAAACAACGTACCATGGAAAGAAGTATGACAGGAAAGAGAAAAATAGAAAAGATAAACCACCAAACAATTAGAAATTTAACTAAAACACAAGATATAAATGCTAAAACTAGACATCTAAAATGGCGCTGGGTTGGACACATATTACGTGGAAAGAATAAATGGAGCAAGGTTATAACTACTTGGTATCCAAGACAAGGACACAGAAAAAGAGGACGACCAAATGGAAGATGGGAGGATGAAATAGTTAGAACAGCAGGGAAGCTATGGACCAGGATCACACAAGACAGAACAGAGTGGAAAAGATTAGAGGAGGCCTTTGCTTTGAAGCAAGCAGACGACCAAGAACTTGATATTGTATAAAAAGCAAGAAAAAATAAAATTAATTAAGAAAGTCTGAATAAAGGGCTATAATAAAATTAAAAAAAAACAATTACTTATGTGACAAACGTGCATGGAAATAGTTGTTCATGCATGGGATTTTCATTTAATGTTAGACATATATAAGTACACAAAGTAAATAAACTGGCTTGTAATTTAAAAAAAAAATTCATTTGAATTTCTTGCCAGTTCATACCAATTGATTCTGTATACTGACGGTAGTGAAAAAATATAAATATATAACATTTGAATGAATGATTTTTGATTTGAATCAATCATTGTTCTCCACTAAGTGACTGACCCACCAGCGTAAACCGATAGCACAGGTGTGTACACCACTCCATTAATACCCTTTAAAATAAATCTGACGAAACAGATCTTACAAACTGCGTGACGGTTAATATAGGTGAGACTAAGGTGTTGATCTCCTTGAGAGAAAGCATCCCAACTAAATATCTCCGCAGACGAGCGCGTGTACACGCTGGAGGCGTTTGAGTAGGACGAAATAGGTCGCCCTAACAACGAGATGGGGCCTGCCCTACGCCATCTACAGGGCGGGTCAACCAGAGCCGCGGAGAGAGCCAGTTATGCTAAAGCGTCCTTGCTACTCCGGCAATGGCGCTCGTTGATACATCGTTTGGTTTTTCAGTGGGTAATGTTATGTATGTTCGTATAAAGGAGACGTCAATCAAACAATGTGCTGAGTTATGACTGCTTTATTTCTAATATGGTTCTAATTAAGTACTTCCCATATTATAATAATCAAAGTACCCACAGGTAAGAATCTCTTACTTCCGCTTTACCTCTCGTGGCGGGAGGCCTTTTGAAGATTTTTTCGCATGAAAAAAAGGTAAGACAGGCAACTGTACTAACAAAATTTTATAAAATCTACGCAAGCGGATACAGTATTCCAGGATTTAGAAACTTTGAGAAATACTGATATAAGTTACCGAGTTCCAATTCGTCCGCAAACGAGAATTTCACAAAGACAGGAATTATTCGCGATTAATTAATATCGTAGATACGAATTCCGGTATTCGATATTCCTTAATTAAAACTGGAAAAGCATGTAATGAAAAATTGTCATTACATTTGAACCATTTACCAGAAATAGACTAAAAATTTGTTTCTGTGGGTACTGTGTTTCTAAGTTTCACATTTCAGCTGCAAAGCAGCTTGTTTTGTTTGTCATTTGTATTTCCATTGTAGGATGCTGATTAGACAATAAAATCACAGGATAAGATAAGATTTAAATCAATTAATCAAATTAAAATACTTTTATTCATGTAGAACTATTATAGACTTTTATGATATGTCAAATCTTCCGTCAGTTCGGAATGATTTCGAGATGAGAAAAGCTAACAAGAAACTCAGCTCTTATGCTACGTTTACATTCAGCCGCTTGCCCTGCCACTCGCGCTGCCGGAAATATTGCCGGGCGACAACTGAGCGAGACTGAATGTAAAAACATGCTGCCAGTCCTTTGACTCGCGCACGAAGTACCGACAATCGAGGGAGCGCCGGGAAACGCGAGTGGCAGCGCCAATAGCATGGGAAGTGTTTCCACTCGTGTTTACACCTTCGCGCTGCTCACTTCCCTGCCCACTCAGGCTGAGTGTAAATTGGGCATTAATATTTTTATATGAGATTGTAAATATTTACTAAAATACAGAAAGAATATAGTGACCTCACCTCAACAATACAGTGTCTGTAACTCGAAAGGAAGCGTCTTAAGTACCTTTAGTAGGAATAGCAACAAATCAGTGTTATTAACGGAGTCACATGATAACGTGATCTCCGTGGTGCTGTTCATGTATATAACGATAGTTACCACTTATCATCAGGTGCCGGCACCTACTTTGCTATTACGACTACGTAATCAAAAATACTGTTATCATTTTTCCATGCTTCATTTTCAATCAGAGCTTAAAAGACGTTAGTATTAGTTCAGTAAGGTAATGAATGATATGCCCAAGTTTAAATATGGCAATAATGTTACTACAGACAGTGTAAATCTTATCATCAAAATTGACTTCCTTTCATCAGATTTTCTCTGTGTAAACTTTACTGATAAAGTTTATAGGGAATGCCCAGCCCTGTGAAAAATTATAATGGTTGATAACAGAATATTGCACCTGCTTGCGCTAACGGTATACGCTGGCGAGGCACCATTCGATAATGATAAGATAGATATGAAGCCAGGTCAGTTAGCCCATCGTGGCAGATTTATCAGGAATTTAACATGTTCGTTTTACAAGGAAAATCGTGTGGATGTCAACCTAACATACATTGCTTGCGATGAGGTTTATCCACATTAAACAATCCCTTTCCCCTTTTATTATTTCCCCTTATAATTATACAACATTCGGCAAAATAGAATTAAACTCATTAAAGAAGTAATTCAAACTGTTAATTAATAATATTTGCTCAATTACATAATCGTTTGGCGTCGTATAAATAGAAACCTAGCAAAGTGTTTAACTTTGTAGTTTAGCATTAAAATATATGAGCAGACTATTTTTGTTTCGTAACCGGAAAAAACAACAAAACTTCCGACGTTTTAACAGTTTGCGCGTATAAAAATAGTATTTCAATTTTCCGGTTTTAGACATCAAAAACAGCTATCAGCATTGGAATAATGTATACTTGGAAGAAGGTTCTGGAAAAAGTTTTAGATAGCCGACAAAGATCGTACGGTACGGTCACGTCGTGTGGCGACCATTAGACCACATTACAAGAATGTGACTTGACATGAGATCCAGCCCAGGAGACGCGGCAGACCCCGTCTCTCATATTGATATTTGATATTAATAGGTACCTAAAATCATAGAATTAAGACTCCAGAAGATCCAGGACAGACTGTACTTACGAAAATTAACAAGACAGGCGCATCTCAAATAAATAAGTAAAGCCAGGCAAGAATGAATACTTAGAAGATATATGAAACAACTATTATTCAAGGACTTTATCAATGTAAAAGAACCCAAAACTATGTTAGAATTTTAGACAATCTGTGCGTTGCGCACCAACATTATAAATGACATAACCGATTTAGGTGTAATTTTGTCTAACGTATTATGGTTAGATTCATTGAAAATTTAGTTTGTTTTGTAAAATAGGTTGCATCATTGCTTTGGCGTAGGGGCAGTATGTCATCTTCTACTAATATTTGCTATTCGCCTTCCTCTTTTAAATCGGTTTTTAAATAAATATGTTATAGGGGTACGAAATCAGCTGAGCGAGCCGAGCAATCAGCGTAAAACAATACATCCTTCCGTTCGGTCCGGCTTTCCAGTACGTTTGTATCTATTAATTTTTAAAGATTCCCTGCCGTCCGATTTTTTTATAAAACTTTTATGTACATTTATAATTATATATGTACACAGAGGTTACAAGAACGGTAGTGGTCTTAACACCTTGTGACATTTTCACCCAATGCCAAAAAAAAAAAAAAGAAAAACATAGTTTATACCTGTACATACCCAAATATATATGGATAGCTATTCTATTCTAAGGTTCTATTTTTCACACGGTACCAAATTTTATTTAGTATGATAGTTTGTATCTGTAGACTGGGTGTTTTCTATTTACGTTATTAGAATTTATTAAAGAAATATCTGTGTTTATATCACTTGTTTAGTATCCACAACACACTCTGCTTAGCTTGGGATTAGATAGTGCTGTGTGAATTGTCCAAAGATTTTATTATTATTTTGTTATACCACAAATTCTTGCAAATCAAACTGTTTAGAAGCATAAATAGATGGATACAAAGATAGAATATAAAAGACTTTAATAATAGACAAATACAATAAATCTTCTTGCTGAAAGCAATCTTTCTCAAGATAACCTTGGGGAAACGGATTAAATTATCGAAAAGGTGGGTGATATGAAAATAAGGAAAAATAATAATCAGTTGTCGATTAAGGAAAGTAATATAATAAGAAATTCTAATGTATATATAATTCGAAATGGTCGTGTAATAACTACTTTATTATAATTTGTTAAGAAATACTTATTGAGTAAAAGCCTGTAAGCGATTATTTGGGAGACGACCTTGTATGGCGTCAGTTGTCCAGACAAAGGATGTTATATTTTAATTATATATGTCTAATATAATTACATACACTACTTAAATGCAGTATTTAAAGATTGAAAAATATATAAATTTATTATTAAATCAGAAAAGATCTTCAATCAAAGAGGAAGTGAGACATTCACTTTCTCTCTGATTGAAGATCTCTTCTGGAATTTATTCGTATTGTTTTGTAATAGTCGTAGTCTATGTGTTCATTAAACAATCGCTAGTAGTTAGTTTAGTATTTATATACGTGTATTTTATTACACAATGTAAATAAACTAGGTTTTAAAAAAAAGAAATTTAGTTAAGGTTCTTGCCAGTTAGTTACTTCCCAAATTTGAATTTAAAAATGAATCTGTATTATTGTAAACATATACAACATTTATTTGAAAAGAATACGAGCTGAGTTTCTTGTCAGCTCTTTTTATCTCGAAATTATTCCGAACTGACGGTAGATTTAACATATCATAAGAGTCTGTAACAGACCTACATGAAGATATTTTGCTAATATATTCTATATGAATATGACTTTTGATTCGATTTATTTACCTTTAGTATTTGTATGTGTATTGTATTGTATTTGTATGGGTATATTACCTTTTTCTTTATCTATAGCATATTACTTATCTTTTTTTTTACTCAAAGCTTCAACCTCCGAGGCCGTCTGTAAGAGATTGCTTTAAACGAAAAGGCTGCCTTTTGTTAGGTCCATTTATGTAAAATTTTCTTTTGTAATTTATTTTCAGAGAGCAATAGAGTGCATTATCATGATTAATAATATTAGCTGACCCGCGTAACACTTACTTGATATTTACCGTATATTTGGCTCAATTTAAATAATATTTTTTTAAAATTATAGCCTATATGTTATTCTGATGTATAAGCTATATTACTGTAAAGTATCATGAAAATCCGTTTAGCAGTTTTGCGTGAAGGAGTAACAAACATCGTTCAATCTAGCCATCCATCCTTACAAAGTTTCCCGTTTATAATATTAGTATGTAATATTATATTATCTATGATATTAGTGATAATAAAAAAAAAATATTGTCGACTGAATTCATACTTCTAATAGTCACATGTAACGACTGTATATATACAGTTGTTACTGTCTATGTATATTATGTATCTCTTTATAAAGAAATATATCTAAGTGCTTATCAGTTGTCTAGTACCCATAACACAAGCTCTGCTTACCGTGGGATTACATGGCGCTGTGTTATTTGTCCAGGGTTATTTATTTATTCATGTAACGAATACCATAACTTGATACTGCATGTAAAATTGGATTTGGGATGAAATTCAATTGAATGGAAAGGTGTGAAGTAGTGCTTCGGTTTTGTATACCGCCTACACTCGCTGCTGAAGGGTCCAATTTTGTATTCATGAGTACATATGATTGATTGTATCGGTCTTGGTGTTTATAAATAGTATTTATGCCTACATTTGTAATATTTCTGTCAACACTTGGCATGCTTCTATTAATTTACCTCTCCAGATAACATAGATTTAAGTTAATTCTAAAGTTAGTCCACGTTTCACCATCGAAATTTTACCGTAAATTTATATGTTCACTGATATAAATACATAGATGTATATTTTTTGTAAATACGTGCATAATATTTATACAGAAAACACTTAAATCAATACAAACTATCATAGTTACGAATACAAATGTTTGTACAGTGTCAATTAAATTAAATTCAAAATATCCTTATTCATGTAGGTCTATTACAGACTCTTATGATATGTCAAATCTACCGTCAGTTCGGAATGATATCGAGATGAGAAGAACTGACAAGAAACTCAGCTCTTAATTTTTTTAAATAATAGTGGAACATGTTTTTAATAATACACAGTCATTAAAATTCAATTTGGGAGAATAGAGTGACCACCAGCATATGCTATCGCAAAGAACAAAAAATTTAATCAGTGTTCGCAACCTGAACAGACCAGTCCCCACAAGCAGCACCCGTTCACGAGTATGACGGATGAGCCAGCCATCATTGCATTTAACCATATTATATATATTGTCAGGAATCGAACTTACGATCGGAAATAAAGCACCGTGCTAAACAGCTAGACCACCGACGTCGGCCGACACACTATAGCGATGCTGTATATTTAAGGTTATTAATAGGCGAAATCGAGGCAAATAACTTTGCAAACAACAAGACAGTCTCCTTCGGCGATTTAATCTGATTAAAAGTTACCTAATTATTAACTTTTTCTAATCCAATAGATCAATGAGGCGTTGCTGGTGGGGAGCGCGGTTATGAGCCTGCAGAGTGAACGTTACTTTGTTGTCAATCATTCTAATTCCACAGAAGACAGAAGACCAATGTGAGTAAAGGACTTAAATAAGTATTATCTATATATACGTGAAGCTAAAACTTTGTACCTCTTTTTACAAATATTACGCGGACACAAGTCCTTCGTTGTTTAAGCCTAGAAGAGAATTTGAGGGATGGTAGATAGATTAAAAATGATTTTTTATTATTAAAACGTTTCGATAATCTCTGTTAATTTGAATTTGTTCTTTATTTTAACTTTATTTTTATTATTTTTTACTGACATGGCAACGCACATATTTATAGGCTGCCAGTTACAATTTAGTTTGTATATAGATTTGTACACTAGTTGAATATCATATTAATACGTGAAGCAAAAACTTTGTATCACTTTTAAGAAAGTTACGCAGACAGATGAGTATGAAATTTCGCACACTAATAGTTTATATCGAGAAGGAGTGCAGAATAGTAATATTTTATTTTAATTATGTATATTTTATTCTTTAATGCACTAAAAAAACATTATACACACAATGTATTTCACACACAAGCATATAGTCAAATTGTTAATTGATTAATATTGTTTGTCTTTAATATTATTTGTCTATAGTCTTACACAATGTTATGAAATATAAACAGAAAAGAAAATATAACCATTAATACATCCATTTAATACAATAGAACTTTAATAATTTTCTAGCTTATAATTTAAATTGCTTATCGAATTTCGACCACTGGGAGACTACTGGTTAAAATAAACCGTTAAAAATATGACATTCTTTATTCAACTGTATTATTTATGTCTAATTGTTTTACCTCTTTTTACACATTTTATTTACATATGCAATATATGATATATTTTTATTATTACATATAAACCTTCCACTTAAAACTATCTAAAAAACTAAACTGTGTTAAAATCCGTAGGATAATTTATAAGTTTTATACATACAGACAGCAGCGGGTATTTTGTTTTATACAATGTAAAGTTATATATAGGCTATCATTACGAAGAATATTTTACGAGATTATTATATCTTATGATGTGCCATAAGCTTTTCAAATAATGGTACATCATTAGCAACTGCCTACTGAGAGATTAGGAAATCTTTGGAAATACACATTTAAGAAGTGTCTGAGAAAACATCTCTGGAATATGTAAATAGATTTCTGTATAAATTATGAAATACTTTTTTATCTATGTAATATTTATTTTAATATGTACTTCCTATTTTCCATATAAGACCAAGAATGGAGCAAACCTGGACTGTAAAAAGAATCATCATAATTAGTTTTGTATTAGCGAAGATATGTTTTGTGTTACCAACTCCCGTGTCTTAGTCCACTGATCGTTTATTATTTTCAAATTTGGGTTACATTTTTTTTACTGGTGTATTATGTTATGATTAGTTTACAGCATGGTATACAGTTAAGGTTTAACATAACAGCAATTTAATTATTATAGAAAAATAATAGTAATATATTAATATTATAATTGCGAAAATGTGTCTGTCTGTCTACCAGTAGGTTATATTAATAATAGGAATTAAGGCAGACTCAGATTGCTAAATGAAGAAATGATTGAATTGCGACAAGGCATATTAAATCTATTAAAAAGCTAGGGATCAAGAGCCAACCATATCCGTTTCTGGCTGTACCATAAAGTAAGGTTTTCAAAATTCAAAATTCAAAATCAAAAACCTTCCTTTATGGTACAGACACTTTATTATAGACTACAAGACTTAACTGTGTAAGCAATTTACAATTTGCAACACATATTATAAAAATAAAATCCACCGTTCCGATTGTCTGATTGGTCGCGATTGTCTCAAAAATTGCAAAACACATTTTATATCTATAGTATATCTTTATCTATATATTTAGAATTTACACCGTAATTTCTGATTTTAGTTACGTTAAGGTTTTGTGGATATGAATTGAAAAGCAAGTGCGAAATGGGGTCGTGTCGCTAGTGTTTTTATAATATACTAGCTACTCGCCCCGGCTTTGCCCGGGTGTACATGTATTATATAAACCTTCCTCTTGAATCACTGTATTTCTTAAAAACCGCTTTTAAAATAAAAAGAGAGGAAAGAGAAAAAAAAAAGAAAGAAAAAAAAAATCCGTTGCGTAGTTTCAAAGATTTAAGTGTACATAGGGACGGACAACATCGACAGCGACTTTGTTTTATATTATGTAGTGCTATTAATTATATTAAATCTAAATAAATTATCTAAAACTGTTAATTTAGATATATTTTCTAATAATATTAAAACAGCGAGACACCAACTAAGTAAACCCTTCTTTGAATATTAAATAAATAATTATTTTATAATATAATATCAACGAACTCTGTTCCAGATCAGCACTCGAGCGAGTATTTACTTCGACGGATGAAAATCTCGAAGTCATATCGCATTTACTTGAAAAACACTCCATGATGACGCTATAGTAAGTATGTAATAATCATTACAATACAGTTATTTATATAATTAATTTCAATGTACATAATACAAAAGGTACATGTGGTGGACCTAACACCTGAACGGCGAAAGAATATACAGGAAGAAAGAAGATAAGAAACTGGATATAATTAATATAATTCTTCATTTGGCTTCTTTAATAATTTACTTTGATCCGTTGAAAATTCCATTCTAATTCCTTCAGCTGTTTTCGCGTTAGACCTTTAAAATATAGACAGACATTTTTCGCCACTTATGATACTAAGGAAGGCGTAAAACATATTTTATATATTCAATATACATGCTCACTGCATGTATATTTAATATATGTTTTATGGCTTTAATAATATTAATCAGTCGCCATTACCGAAGCTCCATGATCCATTCAAGTAACGGATCAGCAGAATAATCCATACAAATAACGTCAGTATAATTGATGAGCAAGCCTTCATTGCAAATCTCAATTAATTGCATGTTATACAGCTACTAAGCTAATATCTATATGTATAATTATACTAGTGTACCAGGCAAGTCGTCCTGATCAGAGAAGCAGCGTCACCTATTGGGTACAATCGTGTTTTTATACACCGTGTGTGATATACACAGGAACCTATTGACATATACTAATATAATCATCCAAATTGGCCCATCTGTTTAGGAGGAGTTAGATGGTCTCGTCCTGTGACTGTCGTTTTTTAATCCCCGATATATACAAATAGATTTTGTATTTTAATAATTCGTTTTCTTATTAATCTTTATATATAAAAATTAGGTGTCACGTTGTTTGTCCGCGATGAACTCCTTAACTACTGAACCGATTGTAAATTTTGTTTGCATATTGTGTGCAATTTGATCTAACTTGAAAGATAGGATAGCTTACATCTCAATTTTATTTTATTTAACAACCTTAGCCACAGCAACGCGTGGCTGGGTATGCTAGTAACAAATAAAATTTACGATTGAAAATAAAATATACAAGTCTCGATAGTGTACACTATACTCTTTCCGTGTTTCAATATTTTTTATAATATATTAACTTGACCGATCAATCACGGATAATTCACAATTTAACGGTTTAACGTGAACAGATTGTAAATTACCGAAAATTAATATGTTATACTAGCTGTTGACGTTGTTTTGCCATATAAATTAAAATCTCTTAAAAGATGGGGTTGGTGATAGAGTTGGTGACAATTTAGGGTAAAATGTATTTTTTAATGTCACATAATATAAAAAAAGTGTCCAAAATATAAAAAAAGGGATGGACAACCCTTATCATTTAGGCGTATGAAAAATAGATATTAGCTGATTCTCAGACCAACTGAACGAGCATATAAAATTTCATAAAAAATATGTGAAGCCGTTTCAGAGGGGAATGGTAACAAAGTGACACAAACATTTTATATATAAGATTATAACCACTACACGATTTATCGATAGTTTACAATCTCGCAACTGTTCATAACTTCGGAAAGCAGACTCATCACAAGAAGAACGATCAAGAATTTCTCTTTTAAATGCTATTCAATATTACAATTTGAATAAATATATAGTGAAACTGCTGAAAAAAGTTCACAATCTTACGTTGATATACAAATATATATTTAATAGTTATAAATCATATGGATCAAAATAATTTGATTGCCCACCTGACGGAAAGTAATAACAATCGCCTATAGACACGAACAGCACCACTGACAGAGAACAATCACTTAATCATCGATCAATGACGAAGTTAAAAATATCCGTAGGTGTATGTACCTCTATCACTCCCATTTTTTCAGATTGAAGGATGAGATGCCGTTGAAATTACTGTAGATAGAGGCTTATTATTGTAGCAATAAGAATCAAAGTCCTAGAGATGTATGTGTTGATTATATGTTAAACTGTTCACAGTTAACTCAACAGCTCGGTTCTCAGTCCAGTAAAAGAAATATATTCCTACGTAGTAGGGGAGTTTATCGGTTTAGCACATTGCCTTGTTTCTGATTGTCGTGGTTTTGTTTACTCACAGGATGTAAACATTTGTATTCATGACTATGATTGTTTGTATTATTCTGGGTATTTTGTATGTATATCATGTATGTATTTATAAAATAAAAGTATTTCTATCAATTATTCGGAACTCATAACTTAAAGCCTGCTGAGCTTGGGACTGGATGACTTTTACTACGAATTAAAATAGTCTGCTCTATTTTAATTCTTAGTAAAAGTCATAAGTCATAATAAAAAAGTCGTAACATTTCCTTAAAGGCCCAGGCGGGGTAAACCCACGCTACATCACTGCCTCGACTATAGACCTGATGACATATAGATCGCATCAACAGACCATACTAAGACTCGTAGACCATACCCTTATCCGTACCATCAATCCATCATTATCAAGAAAAACTATTATTATTTCAGCCGCCAAAAGCAGCTAAATTTGCAATTTGTGCTTCGGTTGTAGGGTGCGATTAGGTAGTGAAACAACAGGATACACAGATATACAGAGGCATGACATTTTAGTCCTTTTGAATAACAATGCATGATTGTTATCATGGCTCACATGATAATGTGATGTCCGAAATTGTTGTTCATATATTTAAACATACAAACTCTCAAATATTACCTCGTTAATATAAACAAATAATTGTATATAACAAATACGTGTGTTGGTTTTTGCCATTTGCCGTGGATATCTTGGACCCATAGAGCCCTAGAGAACCTAAACTATTTTTGACGAGTATTTCAGCTTGGCTTATAGAGGTTACCTGTAACCCGAGAGCTGGTAGCTACTTTGCCCGGAAGGTATGTATGGCTATTCAAAGATGCAACGCTGCCAGTAACATGGGTACGCTGCCTCGAAGTGCCGCCTTGTTATACAATGATTATTTTTTTATTTGTAATTTTATTATTATTAAAAAAAAAAAGCCTAAGTTACTACATGTTAGTATAGATTATATATATTTTTATGCAGCCATTTGAGGGAGGATATTTTAAACGTCAGGTGAGTGCTTAGACAAAATATGTATTTAATATTTTAGCGCCACACCCATATCAAATAATACGTGACATGTAAATGCTTTATTTATTGCTCAATAGATAGCAATCTACAATTATACCCTCACATTTATACCACACACACACACACACACACACATATGTATAAGATTGCTTTGAGCGATAAGGCCACCTTTCTCATCATATTTATGTATAGTGTTTTTTTTTGTAATACATTTTCAGTACACAATAAAGAGTATTATCATTATTATTACGATTACGAAGTCATAGTATATAGTGGTACCTATAAATTCGTAATCGCGTATTAGGGTTAATAATTATAAATGAACGACTCTTTGTCCTATAAAAATGTATAGTTTCACAATAAAAAGTATTTATGGTACCTATCTGTAAAATCTCTAAATTTGAAGCAATATACATGTTATTTTTACATTTATTTATATGCAATATTTCATCAAAATGTGTAAGCGGTTTTGAAGATTAATGTGGACGTATCTCGTGACACGGGATAAAAAATCTCACGTCACAATATATGTTTATATCCTCCGATCGATCCCTTGTCCTATTCCATTGGGGATGTAAATTACGACAGGTTGAGCCGAGGTTCGAACCTTTTGCAGTGCCGTCAGACTAAAGTCGTATCTATCAGTCAGGATTTTGTTCTCAGACGCTCTATAAGTTCCTTCATTGGGTTTTGAGTGCTATCTGCGCTCGTTATTTTCATCTGGTTAAGCTGTAAAGGCCAACAGTATTATAATAATACGAATAAAATAAGGATTTTTGATATGTTGGATTATGATAAGGCTCACGTACTTTGTGTATTGTATCTAGTGCTGTGAAATAAACTATTTGTATTTGTTTTCTGAAAATTTCATACTAAATCCTTCGTCTTTTCGGTATATCCGTCGTCACACAATCATTCTAAGAAATAAATAGTCTAACAATCATATGTAATGATGCTACCTTATATCTACTATTATATTTTAACATTTCAGAGATCTGAAATCACTGAACGTGTTCAGAAGATTGTCAATATACAAAGAAATAAACTCAGTCCTATTAATACACATAATGAAGAGTATGAAATCAGTCACTTTGACGTTATGGCGGTAAGTGAAATATATTATGATTCAGTAATAACTAAATAATATCTCAGGACAATTTACACAGAACCATCTAATCCCAAGCTAAGCAGAAGTAGTGTTTTACTAGACAACTGATACAAATACATTGATACATTTTTTTTTTCAAAACACTCAGACCTATAAAAAGAATGATACTCATGAATACATACGTAATTACCGTGTTATCGAACCTGTGACCATTGGAAATGTAGGCTGTGTGTTAAACCGATAGACCACCGAGGCTGTAGAGAACGGCTCAAACATTTGTATTCAAGGATTGTTTGTATTGGTCATTCATTCATCATCATTTTTTTTAGATCTGTTGTCTGCTGTCCATAACATATGCTCTGCCTAGCTTGAGAATAGGTGGCGCTGTGTTAGTTCTCCTGAGTTATTGTTAATAATCTACGTAAACATATATATAAAAAATATAACATTTACAAAAAAAATCGTTTAGAATTTTTTTTTTAACTGTTGTGATGTAAATCTCGAAAACAGAGAATACAAAATAATTATATATCTTTTTAATTTCAGCCAAATTTCAGCATATTACGAACTGCTGAAGACCATGGAATGTCTCTCATTGGGTATTATGACGTCTGTTCATCTCACTAACGTTGAACCGGACCAATATTTGCTGGCAACCTTTCAGAATTACCACATGTCTATGCTGGAACACCTTCAGACCACGCTGCAATATCTTCACTTGGAAAAAATGGTTGATGACATACGTGTTGTAGAGCAGATTTTGGATAAGTAAGTTTACCATACTATGATACAATCAGGTGCCTGTTAGTTTGCGTATTTAAGATAAAAAATTGCCTATTCTTGTTGTATAAATATGTAATAAAACTATTAATGACTGCAAAATTTATTTTAATGGTATGGTAGATAGAGAACGTGACATGATATAATTTTTGTTTTATATTTTTAATTATAGAATGAGCGAGTTTGAGAAGTAAAACCCTTGCGAACATATCATCGTTAAAAATCATAGGCTAAACCTATGTATTGATGATATAAAATAGTCAGCTGGCTGTAACGTGATGTATTATTAAATCTCAGCAGATAGTACGAACATGTAAAAAAATCTAAAAGTTTGCAGATGTTAGTTTATGTGCTATTTTGAATAAATCAAAATGTCAGTTGGGTGTAATGCCACCGTATTACTTCAGCTGTGGAGGTATTTACTTATAACAGCCACAATTTGGACTTTGATAATAATAGACCTTGTACAATATAAGTTTAAAGTCCATTTCAGTTCTTGTTTCAGAAATGTATCTCAATAGATAACTTAGTTTGTTTAGGGTGCGCTGGATGACGTCGTACAAACATAGAAATGTAGCTTAATTCAGTTGTTTTTGCATTTACTTTCATAGAATGTTTATATAAAATGAAACCTTCGAGGGTAAAAAAGCTAGTTTCACCCTCGAAGGACCAAAATATACTCGTATGCAATAGTCTGTATGTGTGAGATGAATAAAACAACGAATAATAAATACTGATAATATCGATACACACAGTAACAATGAAAAGTGACAATAATTTATAATGACAGTTCTAAAACTGTAAAAGAAAGACATTAAAAATTGATTTAAATATCATCATTACATAGTATAAAACAAAGTCTCTCTCTGTCCGTCCCTATGTATGCAAAAATCTTTAAAACTACGCAACGGATTTTGAAGCAGTGATTCTAGAGGTAGGTTTATATATATTAACATTTGTATTCATGAGTATGATTTGTATCGGTCTGGGTGTTTTCTATGTTTAATATGTATGTATTTACAAAAAAATATCTATGTATATGTATCAGTTATCTAGTACCTATAACACAAGCTCTAGCTAGCTTAACTTGGGTCTAGATGGCTCTGTGTGAATTGTTCTGAGATTATTATTATTATTATAATACATGTACACCCGGCTGAAGCCGGGGCAAGTGGCTAAGTGGTAAACATATAAAAATATGCAAAGAGTTTGTAACAATCTTTTCAGTCATTTAGTCGAAGAGAAACTAAATAGTGTTTATACAAATAAACTTAATATGTATTGTGTATAAATAAATATAGATAATAATGTAACATACTTAAATCCTATAGGCGACTCTTACAACTTACCATCACGTTGTTTTAATTTCATTAATATGGAATTAAAACTAACGCATCCAACCACTGTCCGGAGTATGTTACATATAACATACATAGTTTATAATACAATTTGTGTTTAAGCTACCAACAATCCAACATCCCTGCTTTGATGGAAAACAACAATGGGATGCCGTTCACAGCGGAGGATTTGATATTGTATAACAAAGAGCTACACAAGCAAATGGATCAATTGAAGATTGTACAGTTACGTCTGTGGACTGCTGTCAAGTAAGATTTATATGTTTGTCGTCATGTTATGATATAGGCAGAGATATTTACCTATTTATCTGTTATCTGTCAAGCTAGGTTTCATATATATGTAGAGCGATTTAATAATATTTAATGCAACAAACGTTTACCCTGGTAGACATTGTACAAAGTCCTCTACGTGAGATGTTTCCGTCAAGCTATTTCAACCGTCAAGCAGCTTGATTTATAAGCTATATATGGTAATACATATATACATAATATGTATATATATATGGTAGTGTGTTAAATGTCTTTTAATGCATAAATAAAAAAAATATTAGCAATCTGTAATCTGTCTCTATATGACTAATAAATGTGTGAACAGTTTTTGCTTCACGTATTAATATGATACTTAACTAGTGTACAATTCCATATAAAAACTAAATTCTAACTGGCAGCTTTTAAATATGTGTGTTGCTATGTCTGTAAAACATAAAAAAAAGTAAAAATAAAGAACAAATTCAAATTAATAGAGTTTATCGAAATATATTTATATAATTAAAAATCATTTTAAATCTATCAACCATCCCTAAAATCCTCGTCCTGGCCTAAACAACTTGCTAAAATTAGCATATAATAAGTATTAAAGTGCTTTTTTTGCTTATTTTACTGTAAAAAACTTACAGTTTGAATAAGAAGAAAATAAATACATTAAAATAGAATACCAATATGTTGTAGAGAAACAGTAAGACAAGATGTATGGAGTGCCAGACAGACGTTGGCTGTTGGGATTTTTATACTGATTGTAGTGGTGCTGGCTTCACCCGTTTTGGTACTGCTTTTGCGACATATAGTACATACTATAGAGGTAAGGTTTATTCAATACAAATGCCTCTGTGGTCATGAGATTTAGAACACCACTTAACTTCCCATGATTGCGTGTTCAATTCCTTGTATGATACAAATATTTGTATTCATGAGTACGATTGTTTGTATTGTTCTGTGTTTTCTACGCATATTATGTATGTATATAAAAAGAGGTCTTTCTATTCGTTTTAGTATTCATAACACAAGCTCTGTTTAACTTGGGACTAGATGTCGCTGTGTAAAAGAAAAAAAAATAAGATCCGTTCAGTCGTTTAGCCACGAAATGCTTGTAAAATGATAGCCAAATTTTCACATTTGCAATATTACAATACATGTTAAATTACAATTTCTGAAAAGTAACAATTAAATGTCATTAATATCTTCAGACTTTCGCCCGCTCAATCGACATAAGCACGCAAAAACTAATGGCAGAGAAACAGAAGAGCGATCTTCTTTTGTCACGGATGCTGCCGCTGCCGGTGTTACGGCGGCTACGAGCGCAGCGGACGGTACCAGCCGAGGCGTTTGATGCTGTCACCATATTTTTTAGTGACATCGTGGGATTCACGAACATTTCTGCCACTAGTACGCCCATGGAAGTCATCAATATGCTTAATATGCTATACAAGTAAGAATTGGTGTTTTTAATATCATCAATGGATTCTTGAACTATGCGCATTCTCGAGCTACGCGCACTCACTCTTATCGGAATACAATATATAATATAAGATATAGATATAATATAATATAAGAATAGGTGTTTTTATATGTATGTGTTGCGAAGTTTTTTTTTTTTTATGTCACGTACGTGTCAAACAAGCATACGGCCCATCTGATGGTAAACGTTTACTGTAGCCTATGGATGCATGAAATGCCTGAAATTAGTGTAGTAGTGAGAATCGCAAATGATAATATCTCAAAATAATTCACACGGCGCCAACTAGTCCTATGCTAAGCAGAGATTGAGTTATGTGTACTAGATAATTGATAAAATTACTTAGATACATTTTTTTTGTACATACATAATATACATAGAAAACACCCAGACCGATGCAAACGATCATACTCATGAATATTTGCACTGTGCGAGAAATCGAAGCAGCGACCATACGAAAGTAAAGCGGTTTGTTAAATCGCTTGACCACCGACACCGTCAAATGCTAATGGATTCTGGAACTATGCGCATTCTGGAGCTACGCGCACTCACTCTTATCGGAATACAATAAAACTGAAATATAAACCTCGTATACCTAGTTCATTTTATATTATCTTAAATTTCCTGTCCATGAGGCTTAAATCCAGTCTCTCGGGGATTGTCGCCCAAGAGTTGATACCAAGGGGTCAGAACCTGAACCCTCATATGAAAAAACTTACTTATAAAACAGTATTACTGATGCCCTGTAATTTATTTATAAATAAATTTATATACGACTATAAATTCACTTTAACTAAAATAGACGCTCAAATTTGTTTGGGTTTCACGACAGTTTCATTCCTCAAAGAAGCAATTTGCAAGCAATTTACAAAGAATAAGCAACCTCGTCAGTCTTGCCTCCGCAATGACCTTCTTGTATCAAAAGAGATATTCTTTAAATAACTACGGTTTGATATATCTTCGACACAGTTTATAATAAACCTGATCTCACATTATTGGGTTCAGTTCCATGATTATTTTATATGATCGTGCTCTAATTGGTGTATTTCTAGAAACGACGACATCGTTTCTAGAAATAAATGGGGCTATCTGTCGAAAAGTATTCGACTATCAACCGACTAAACCTAATAATATTGAGCCTCATTTTTTTTTATAGTACTATGGTGGCATGTAAGCATACGGCCCATCTGATGGTAAATAGTTACCGTAGCATGCAATATAATGTTATCTGTACCGTAGCGTATGGACGCCTGAAACACCAGGGGTGTCACGTGCGCGTTGCCGACCCTAAGGAAACCTTAATATACTCTTCTTAAAAAACGCATAGTCTCGTGAGGAAACCTGCGAAGGAAATTCATTCCACAATCTAAGTTTACGCGGTGCTCATTAAGCTGTGGTGCGAAAAATAGTAAACAGTATAATTTTTTATGGTCTAGTGGCGTTAATATTTTATTTTGGGCTGGCAACATACATTTGGTTTCTTGCCACGTTTTCAGAATGCGATTATCGTTATTCGGCGCATTCGGTTGCTACGTCATCTATATCCAAAGAAATCGGGTTGTATCGGAACGCATTAATTGAAAATTAATTTAAGACGACGTATCGCAAATATTGACGGTACAAGTCTCAATTTTTCTCAGCAATTACAAATCATTCGGGGCTGTTATTTAGGTATTTTATTTTTCACATCTTTGACATCATATACATTGTTATCGGTACATAATTAATTAACTTTTGTAGCAGAGAAAAAATCTCAAAGAATGGTATTATAAAACATATATTTACATGGTATAAGAAAACGGGGCTAATTTAAGACTCAAATTTTCCAGTATACATTATTACATACATATTTAAATAGAGCAATTCAGATGTAACCAATAGATAAACTGTTATTCCGCACAAAATCTCTCGCTAACAAGTTTTTTCGATCGCATAACACAAGCTCTCGGTTAGTCGCAGTCGGGCAACCTACTAACCGACTGTGTATTACCAACCTTATTCGGCGTTTTTACAACCGAATATAAAATGGCGGGATTATCCTTGCGTGGGCGTACTCTTTGGTTACGAATCGGCTTTAAAGGATCCAATAAAGTCTTTAATGATATTATGTTGGCTACTTTACTTTGGTACTTTAATTAAATTTATGTTATAGGTTATTTGACGAGAAAATAATGCAATACAATGTGTACAAAGTGGAGACGATTGGCGACGCATATATGGTGGTATCTGGACTGCCTCAGAGGAATGGTAGGTATTTGTATATAAAATACTAGGAGGAGGGGATTATTAGTTATAGGTGTTATAAATAACAATGACCTTGGACAATTTACACAGTGCCATCTAGTCTCAAGTTAAGCAGAGTTTGTGTTATAAATACTAAATGACTGATATAAACACTAATACACATAATATATATAGAAAACACTCAGACCAATATAAACAAATGAATACAATTGTTTGTACCATCCGAGGAATCGAACCCGCGACCATCGGAAGTAAAGTGGTGTGCTAAACAGCTAGATACTGAGGCAGTGTTAGCAATACCATATCAGGTTGACCTCAATGTAGGTGAATACTGACGTCATGCTCGTGGTATCATTTTCCACTAGTGCTAGTCAGAAATGCTTGCTGAAACCAGAGTCTAAAAGCTAGTGAACAATGAATAAATAATACAATGAAGTTGCTCGTTTCCGAAATAACCTTAAAAATTAGAAGTAACTCGGGCTCACGAAGTCCTAGCTATTTTCACTTTAATAACAATAATAATCTCATGAGAATTCACACAGCGCCATCTAGACCCAAGTTAAGCTAGCCAAAGCTTGTGTTATGATTACTAGATAACTGATACAAATAAATAGACATATATTTTTACGTAAATACATAGGAAACACCCAGACAATCATACTCATAAATACAAATGTTTGTGCCGTGCGAGGAATCGAACACGCGACCAACGCAATTAAAGCGGTGTGCTAAACCACTAGACCACCGAGGCCGTCGCTCTTTTATAAATTACTGAAGTTAATATAAGTTTAAATTAGCCGAGATGTCAGCTTGTTTGACAATTTAGTCGTGAAAGAACGTGAGTTAACTGTGGGAGTACAATTAAAATAATTAATGATCTTTACCGCCGTTTCGTCCTCTCTCCGGCCGGCGCATCGACCAGACTGACGCATTTGTAAAACGAGACATCAATATTCGCCGTCTCGTTCTTTCTCTAGTAACAGTGTACGTGTAGACTTATTTAAGCCTTGTCTGGAAGCTTGTGTCATTAATGTGTTAAGAAAACAAATTGTACTCGTTTCTCTTATTGATTTGTTTGTTTGTGTTTCTTGTTTGTGCAGTCCTTTGGGGGTATCCAAGATTATTTTTAATATACATTCATACCCATTTTATGCATGACTTGTGATTTACAATCCAGACTTACACACAAAAGTGAATGGTTTCAATATATTGTTTTATGCTTATGCCAACAATCTAAGATGGAGTAGTCAGAGGCATAAAGTGAATGCTATAATTCCAGAAATCGACGAAAGTAGGTTCCGTTTGCGTTGTTGTCTCTAAAATTAATTTGGTATGATCTTGTTCAATTGGCAGGAAATAAATTGTAAATTAACATACAAAATTTTTAATGTGTTGGCTAGAGTCAACTCACACACACACAACTCACGACCTCTGAGGTCGATAAATTGTAGCAGTGATACATTAAGTCACAACGGTTTAGGTGTGATGTGTCTTTTAGGGAACCGCCACGCTTCTGAAATAGCTGATATGTCATTATCACTAATGAGGAGTTTGGAAGGCGCTAAAGTGCCACACAGGCCGCAGGAGCTCTTGAGGGTGAGAGCTGGAGTGAATACAGGACCTTGTGTGGCCGGGGTGGTTGGTACAACAATGCCCAGATACTGTCTGTTTGGTGACACCATAAATACTGCAAGCAGAATGGAAAGTACCGGGGAACGTAAGTAACTCTTGATAATAGACTAAACTTGGGGTCACCCAGTGGTTCAAATTGGATAATAATTAATTTAACACCCAGTAAGATTAAAGACAAAGATTACTAATTTATTCTTATTTTTACCACAAACTTTAACAATAAACAAAAGCGTAAATGTATGTATATGCCAAATATATTATAGTGTGATGGATAATTAAAAAAAATATTTGCATTCTGCACTCCTTCTCTATATAAGCAATACTATGTAAAATGTTGCTTGCCCTCCGATCAATCTCCCGTCCAATTCAAACGGGGATCGAAATTTGAGCCGAGGTTAAAAACCCTAGTGGTGCCCTCAGACTAAAGTCTTATCCGTCAGACGGAAGTTGGCCTTCAGCTGCTCCATAAGCCCTTTCTTTAGTTTGGAGTGCCATTTGCACTCGCTACTTATAGTCCGGTGAAGATGTAAAGACCATTGGAGTAGTCCTAAAAATAAAATGTTACTTATAAACATAAACAATACTACGGACATCGCGTCATAATGAGACACCCATGTTACAGTAATTAAGATGTCATACCTTCTAATTTTCCTGTCATATATACTCACCCTGATACAAAGCAAGCTGCTGGGCGACTGAAATAAGTGAGACTGAGGTACGCAAACGATTTCGTACGAAGGTTTTTTTTATAGCATAGGGGAGAATCTAGATTGCAGCTCACCCGATAATAAATGACTTTGAATGTATGATTACCACCGTCGATCCACCATGAGTTTCTTAAATATGCAGTATACAAGAAATGAATATTAGATAAATTTCTACTTTTCAGCTATGAAAATCCACATATCATATACTACGAAGAAAGCGTTAGACGAAATTGGAAACTACGAGATGGAGCCACGGGGAAGGCTTGATGTAGCCGTAAGTATTTATGAATTCATTCATTCATTCATAATTTAAGAGCTACACTCTTGTCGGTGGAGCTCTTATGAATAGATGACAAAAAAAATTATTGCATGTTTATAATCGTCTATAATGGTAGGGCATGTAATGCGTAGAAATGAAGATAACATTTTAAGGAAGGTGTTACATATGAATGTGAATGGTTATAAGGGCAGAGGAAGGCCAAAAAAGAGATGGATGGACTGTGTGAAAGATGATATAATAAGAAAGGGAGTAAATAACGAGATGACTGTGAACAGGGATGAATGGAGAAGAAAATCATATTACGCCGACCCTAAATAAATGGGATAAGTACGAAGCAGATGATGATGATATTGAAAGGTGTACCTGCCTGCGCCTTGCGCTTTGGTTTATGCTGGCAAGGCACCAGTGGAGGATGATAGGATAAAAATAAGAGTGGAGATCAACCTGACTTGGTACTTTGCTAACGATGAAGTAATTCGTTCATATTACTAACAATCCCTTTCCGCCTTTAGATGACCAGTTGGCCCCCTGACTTCGTTTGGGTACTCTGTAACTATGAGTTTTGTATATATGAAGTTACTGGAAGCTTAATCAAATATTTATAAATAAAAAATGATGGACAAGCTGCCAGTAACAAGAATTATATATATTTGCAGGGAAAAGGCAGTATGGAAACATTTTGGCTATTAGGCAAAGTGGGCGGCATACAAAACGAGAGTCCGCGCTGCCTGCGTCTACACGACTACGATCAGAACCTTCTGGAGTTGATTATAAAGTCGTGAATTGTTTAACTAAACTTTAAAGTTTTTGGATGTAATAATTCAAGAATTATGTAAATTATTTTAATTTGTCTAACAATTGTATCAATTGGTAAATGGGACTTGATTATGTAACGCAGTTACAATCGTACTGTTTTAATTTTAAATAGATTGACAGCTGCAAAACTAAAAAAATAATGCTGTAAAACTCAGTTAGTTTCCCGTTTTTGATTTAATTTTAAGTAAATTGACAGCTGCAGTTGCGGTATAACTCGGTACATTTCTGCCATTTTAAATTACGATATGTTTAAAATAAGAAAGAATGGTATGCCAAGATTTGGAAGTCTTCCGTGGAAGGGAGAAGGGGATGATAAAATCTGAGATAATATCGGAGTCGTGGTTGAGTTGTCACTATTACGCCCTTGCAATCTTTATTTTTATCGTTTTACATTTTGAAAAAAGATTTTACTTTTATGATTTTTTCAAGAGCATCATTCCCGGGTTGTTTGGTCTTCGTAACTTATTGAAATCTGCTTGTATAAGCAGGACTTCTTGCTCTGGCCAAAGTTTTTTTTTGGACTACTCTAAATTTTGTTGGCCGTAGATGGCCTTCTGGCCTGGGTAGCGGAACAGACAATTTGAATGCAGGATTGTCTAGATCAAAGCAGGACAGATAGGGACGTTATTTATACCTGATTTAACAAAATTGTGCCGTTCGCAACTGCAACCGTCTAATAGTTCATACATAATAGCTAAATTTTCGATTCTAGTCAGTTTAAAACAAGAAACTATTTCAACCGCGTTGCATAAGCAAGTACAATGTAGTTTAAGATAAATATTAAAATTGTATTGTTAAGAGAAAGCGAGTAGGGAACTGATATACATCGTTTTTCCTTTCATCCCCTAAGTTTTTATGTCTCCTATGATGTGATGAAGATAGAAGTCCTGATATTTAGGTATGTAACCTGATATCAAAAACTTGATAAAAAAAATCTAAGTATTTATATCAATTGTCTGGTACCCATAACACAAATTCTACTTACTGCGGGACTAGATGGCGCTGTGTTGATTATCTAGCGTTATTTGTTTAACCAGAGGTTTCACGTGAGGTCCAGGTACAAAGTGCAAATTTGACCTTATACTAATATGATAAAAGCGAAAATTTACGAGCATACGCCTCGTAAACTTTCGCTTTGTTCAGATGGATGTTTGTTACTCTTTCATGTAAAAAGTTCTAGACCTGTCTAAATGAAATTTAGTATACGGATCGATCATATCCTAGATTAATACGTATTTTTTGCATGAATCCAAGAGGGCATCGTCGTGGGATATAGTTTCTTCGATAGTATTATTGAGAAATATCTGTATTTTTATAATTGTTCCCTTCTATGAACCTAGTGAGAAATATGAATTTATTAAAAATTACCATATTCAGTATTTTCGCACGCATGTTATTTAATGTAAGATGTATAGAGAATCATTAAATAGTTTTAAATGTTAGTACAAAATTGTTGTTTTTCTCACCGATCGAATTTTCTGCATAGTTCATAGATTTTTTTATGTAATTGGTTTATGAAGAACCAAATAACCAGCCTGTTGGTAAGTTGTAACCGTCGACCACAGTACTGTCATAGATAACATACGGGTTGTACAATACAATTTATTATACAGTACAATATTACATACGGATATCACGTTATCATGTAATAGTCGTGATACTATTAATGCGTTGCCATTTCTGGAGACTAACATATTTTGCATCTTATCCTGTAATTTCACTGCCTATGGCTGCACCCTACAACCGAAATACATATTACAAGTTGCTAATCAGCTAAAATTGGTGAAACTGAGGTATCCGTGCAGAGGATTACTATTTTAAAGTATAAATTCAGTGAATATATTTTAAATAAATAACTAAAGCAAAATATTAGATGCATGACATCATGCAAAAAAATAGAGCAGAGACCACGGTAATGTATCTGAACCATCTACACGACGCCTACAAGGAGCAGGACATTGTCGACTACATACAAACCAGGTAACCATGCGTCAAGTCACAATGCGAGCTTCAAGGCGGTAGTGGCTCCGATGTCACCGATGGTCGCGGGTTCGATTCATTGCACGCTAAAATATCGGTCTAGTGCTTTCAATTTTTTCAATTTCAAAATACATATATATCGCACTATTCCTGGAAAAAGGAAGTAAGTGATTTTCACCAACTTTTCAGGAGCTTAAAAAAACTGTCCTATATTTTTTGTATGAGTTCTAGAAATAAGTTTCAAAGAGAAAATCGTAGGTCACAGTTGCCTTCAACTACATGTGTTATTTAATTTAGGAACAGCTTCATGTACTTCCAGATAATCTAAAAAAACACGGTTACTTCTGTATTCCACGAAACACAAAGAACATTTGCAGGGGTAACTACAATTATTGCTTTTTTGTTATGTATTTTGAAATATATGAACAAATTTAACTCTACTTACGCCTTTATACTCTTCTATATTTCAGTATAATCTAGAGTTGCAAGTGTAATTACGTTGTTATTTAACGGAAAATCATTTTTTGTACATCGAGTTACGTATTTCTAGGGAGCCATTTATTTTAGTTTAGTTAGTGTATTTATAAAAATAGCTTTTATAATGCGGAAACTAACTGAATATTTAATTTGTATCATGTAATACCTACTTCTTACAGTAAATAGTCTATTATGTGCGTGCATGTAAGTCAAAAGTATAAATATAGGGGCAAATTAATTTAGAGAATATGAAAACAAATAGGGTTATTATTAATTTTTTATTATTTTTAAAGAAATGTTTATTGCCTCTATAATCAGCTTAATCAAAAAATGTTCAAAATAGTGATATTTTTATTAACCTTCATTATCCTCAACTTCGGAATCGGACTCTGTGGTAGCAGATTTAGTATTTAAGCTCTTATAAAACGTCTGGTAGTGTGGTGGTACGTTATTATCTTTATATAGATTCATCAAGTTTTTGTATATATTTTAGGTATCGGTAGCGGCGCATCATACTAATGCCTGAGTTCAGAAGGCTCGTGCTATGTGCAGCTCTTTATTTTCTCATAACTCTTCCGCTTCTATTTGTCTACAATGATTGGTGTCTCGTCAGCGAATGCGTATTTTATATGGAATTTCCCCGGACATTGAGGATCTGCCGAAATCTCTTTAATTTTACTCCAACTCGTGTAGTAAATATATTAAGTCCTAACATATGAAATTTGTAAGGGAGTAACCTAATTACTCCCTTACAAAACGCCAATTTCAGTTGATTTTTCAAAATATAATATATTTATTTAATCAAAATATAGTCCATTGCTATTTATGCACTTTTGCCATTTGATAGGTAGTTTTATTGATCCCTTTTCTAAAAAACCATTAGGACGGGAATCGATAAATCGGACTTGAATTTTTTCCCTTGCAAGAAATTATCCAAATTTTGAAAAAGAAAGCAGCAAGATCCGGGAAGTACGGTGGATATATTGGACATTTGAAGCTCTTCTAATTTCGTAACGTTGTCCTGAAGTAGCAGTGGCCTACGGTGATTGAGCAGTCTCGGTAGTTTAGCAACTAGCTTTTCCATCATGGTTTGCAATTGCTGACAATACACATCTGCCGTAATCGTCTGACCAGATTTAAGAAAGCTGAAGTGAACAACACTAGTCCACTAAACGCTCACAAGTAACTTTTTTTGAGTTTGAATTTTCGCTTGGGACAGGATTTGGTTGGTTTGCTAGGATTCAGACATTGCGATGAGTGTTTCCGATTATCGTACAAGATTCACTTTTCATAACAGGTAATGATTCGATTTAAAATCCCTTCATTATTATGCCGGTTGGTTAATGTAACACAGCAGTCTACGCACGTTTGTCGATTTGCTCCATTCAATTCATGATCCACCTTTCAAGCTTTTTTCACCTTCCCAATTTGCTTCAAGTGGATTAAAACAGTTTTGTTACTAACACTGCAGCCTGCAGTTAACTCGGACGTGGTTAGCGATGGATCCGCTTCCACATTAGCCTTTAATTCTTCATTATCAACCTTGGACTCTGGCTGCTCACGGGGCTTGTTTTGCAGATCGAAATTTCCAGAACGAAAACATTGAAACCGAAAACGCACTGTGTTTTCTTTTGCGACACCATCACCATACACATTATTAATTCTTCGAGTCGTTTCTGCACACTGGTGCCACGACGGAATTCGTACTCTTAAAAAACGCGATATTTTATGTTTTCCATTTTGTAAACTGAGTGACGTAAAGAAAAAACCAAAGATGGAAAAACATATGGATTACGGTTTTCGACAAACAAATGCATGAGTAAATAACTGTACAAATTTGAAATTTGAATTCCTGGCGAAAGAGGAGATATTTGAGATCAAAGTGGCCAGTATGACAAAACACCAATTTCATATGTAAGGACCTAATATTATAGTACCATCTCTCAGAGGTTGGAGTAACATTTTTATAATCTAGGTTTTTCTTAATGCACTATAAATATAAACGATACATTTTAGCGCAATTATGCTTTTCATTTAGAATTTATCTTTGTTAGATTGCGGAGATAATGCGATTCTTTATGTGGAAACATATTAATTTGATCAATGACATTTTTGGTTTACTACTTATTTTGATTGGTCTATTAGTATGTTGACCTTGCTGATCAATACAAGTTGAAATTATGATGATTAGTACTTTAATAGTTTTTAGAAATCTTAATCTTAATATAATATTCTAAGCGTGAAAGTTTGTAAGTATTGATCTTTGTTGCTCTTTCCCGCAAAAACTACTGAATGGATTTTTACGAAACTTTACACCAATATAGCTTATGCATCCGAATAACACAGGATATATTTTTTATTGAAATTTAACGCGGGTGAAACCGCGGGCACAGCTAGTAATTTATAACAAAGTAATGTTTGCGGGATCAGCTAGTATCTATTATGAGCAGTGGGAATTAATATTGAATATTATTGCTAGCAGTATAAGGTACATTCAGTTCTACGCGGTCCATCCTGGAAACCATCGTAGTTAATTCCTATTAGATCTACAATAAGATTCACTGCCAATTGTATATTCGTTTATCCATATTTAAAATAGAAGTATACTTTTTATCTATTGTTTTTATATACACTTCTATCAATTCGCTCTGCTATGGTAAATGTCTAAAAGCAGATCTATTTTTCTATCATTTATTATTACTATGCCTGGCAAATTCACCTGATCTCCTGCTCCTCCTATCATCCATCATTGGTGCGCCGTCAGCTTATACAATTAGCTAAAAATAGTTTATTTTTTACTTAATTTTAATTACATGAACGTATTCTTAGTTTTTTTTTCTTGCATGTATTCAAAATTACCCAACATCAGGTATGAAATGTTACGTGTAATAAAGAAGTAACTACAACTACACTTTACGCATTGTGAAGTTTTGCTGGGCGGAAAGTATGTAACAATAATCACACATAAACTATGAGCTAAAAGTTTCGTAGAAGAAGTAAGTAATTAGAATTACACAATAGTCCTAGATTGTAAGATATAGGAACAAGTATTTAAGTATATTTACGTTATACATTTTTTTGTAAATCTTCTTTTAAAATTTACGTAAATACAATTATGACTTTATGAGCGGGATAATTGTCAAGCGAATAAATGCAAATATGCATACCTCTATTTTATGCTGGAATTTTATGTTTTCTAAATTCGTAAAATTTTAGTATTTTTGCATTTATTCCTTCATTTTTGTCGATAGCTTCATGAGATTTTGACAGAAGGTGTAAACCGTGAAGCTCGCTTTATTTATGTAATAAAAAATTTTTGACGCAAGTGTAGTTGCGGCCTTTTTACACGGGATGTGCGATATTATGTATGTATTTACAAAAAATGTATCTGTGTATATATATCCTTTGTGTAGTATAACACAAGATTTGCTTAGCGTGGGACTAGATGGCGTTGTGTGACTGTGACACACTAAAAAAACTCTCTGTGATAATTTCCTTTCACTTCTAGTTATAGTTTTGGTCGAGTTTCTTGGACGAAATAAAACACATAGGTCAACATTGACAAATTTATTTCTAATTTTTCATTAAACGAACAATTTTATATTAACATCTATTAAATTATTACAAAAATTGACGATCTTCTCATACAGTATTCTGTTTAAGAGATCGATGCACCCATTTAATTTTACGTCTAACATCTAATGATAGTAACAACTATATAAATTATTTAAATTATTTTATTATTCAGAGGGAAGTCAGGAATTATTGGATTCGCTGCATTGCAAATATTGTCCTCAATATATTCATTTTTTCTCAGCAATTACAAAATTATTCGGGACTTATATTTATGCATTTCATTTTTCATATCTTTGACAACATTTTAATGTGTTGTTACGTGATCTATTAATTTTGTAGCAGAGAAAAATTCTCAAAGAATCCTCTTATAAAACATAGATTTAGATGGTATAGGAAAACGGCACTGATATAAGACAAAAAAATTCCAGTTTACATTTTACTAAGTACACATTTAAATAAAGGAATTCAAATGTATATAATAAGTAATAGTTTTGTCCACATAATAAAGGTGGTATTATTAATATATTTAAACAAGTTTTAACAAGAATAATTTTATCGTAAATAAAGGGTTGTTAAATTAATAACTAAATTTGTAGTTTTGTTCAAAATTAATCAATAAATACGAACAAAATTCAGTAGCATCGTTAAATAAGTGTACGGATACCGTGAGTACTACTGTGTTTAGCGTTATTTGTCGTACAATCTAATGACGGTACTTGCACAACTGCTGGCTGCAGCACCTATCAATATTAACACTCGCTGTTACTCCAGTCAGCTCCTGACCACGGGCTGTGCCACGAAAATATTGAGAGATACAATAGAAATGCTTTTATTTAACCATAAAATTAATCGTGTTAAAACCCGTTTAACTATACTAATAAATATGTACTAAACGAGAAAGTTTAAAAGTTAATAATAAAGGTGGTATTTCAATCCATTTCACCATTTTAATTAGTTTGCTGCTGTTTAACAGATCGGAACTCGCGTTCTTACGGAGCGCGTGCGGCTGCAGACTACTGCAGGCTACACAAACAACTTCTTTATGCTTCTTTCATAAACAATCCGTTTGTATCCGTTAACCGTGCAGTAGGATTTTTATTACCTCTTCATATTTCATATACTTAAGAGCAACGCTCTTGTCGGTGGAGCTCTTGCCTCTTTCTAGGATCTTCCATCTTACTCTTTAAGCCTTGATACGACACGACTCCAATTCTGTCTTTAATTTGCTTGATGTAACTGTGCCTTAGTCTTCCTCTTTCCTTCTATCTTTCCCTTAATAATTAGTTTCAAAAATTCATCGTGCCGTATCAAGTGCCCTAACATTTTTCCACATCTATTATTACCTCTTATATTGACTTTATATTGATAGTCTCTCGGTATAAGCATTCAGCGCCGTACATTGGGATGCGTTGTGGTGCAGTCAAGCATATACTAACTTTTTTATTATAATAGAAACGTAGATTTTTTTTTATTTAACTGAAATGACCAAAGTCTGATGCTTTACCTGATTGTAAGTGGTGGTAACTGTCGTAGTTATAAAACAAAATTATCAGATACATCTTATTTTAAAAATTACAATACTGCACCTGTATGGAGTCAGGGCAGGTTGCCAGTTCATTATAAATAGCATAGTAAAAAATATTTATATTTTTAATTCGGTTTTTAAGGATAGAACACTAAAATTGTTGAAATACTTATACTATATAGATAAAACATATATTTTTCTATATCTGTTCTCATAGAAAATTGGGATGGAGTCAATTTTCTATTAACATTCTATTAGAAGACTCATAAAGGACGTTTTAGCCCACCTTGGGAAAGACATCCTACATCTTATAAAACATCTTGTATATGCGGTGATGTATTTTTTTATTAATTAAAGTACAGTGCTTTGTTATTGAGTATAATATACGTATACTATGGTCTATTTGTCTATGGTATAAACATTCAACTACATCTACATTAAAAATACAACACATCCGCTTGCAGAGTCTTCATTATCTTTGGTATTTAAATTCTTAATATAAAATTCGATAATCCAGACTTAGTAACTAGTTAAGAATAGGCCCTAAAACAGAATAAAATAATTATTGTGTGCAACTGTGCAGTCAGTTTATTTAGCATTACTTTTTTGTTACAATTGGATTGGTTTAAATTTTTTTAAGGTTCCTCATAAACAGAACCATGCTACTTGGACCAAAACAACTTTTATGCTTAATTGTATAAAGTCGTTTTTAGAATAACTTTACAAAACTACACATAGTTGCATAGTTTGAATTCAAATTATAAACACACAAGGAGTCATCCATAAATTTCGTTTGATGGGGATGTATGAGGAGGTAAGTGATTCAATGAATTGTGACATTGTGTGACAAAGGATGGTATGAGTCATAATTTCGAGACGTCACATTTCAACTAATAAATCTTTTTTTTATAAATACGTAGAAAACCACTAGACCAATACTAACATTAATATTCCTGAATGTAGAAATTGAAATGCAACCATCGGAAATAAAGCAGTGTGCTAAATCGCTAGACTGCCGAGGTCGTGATATAATAATAATTAAATCGCTAAATGTAGACTTGTAAGATCTGTGACGTCACACTGCGCAGGGGGCGTCACAAACATGTGACAAGGACCCCGTTCCGTTATATAGGGACCAAAATTATGAAAATTCATATGACATAACTTATGGATGATCCATAAGGGTAGTGCCACAGTACCCTTAAAACATAGTTTCAGCCCACGAGAAAAATAAAGTATGTTTCTCGTGGGCTGAAACTATGTTTTAAGCATTTATTAAGCATTGTAGCAATTGAATTATTAAGTATAATTAAAAAACTATTGGTCCGATCTTGATGTCATTTATATAGGACCACACGAGAAGCACCAACTTTCAAATAAAGGACCCATCAAAATCGTTACACGTAGAAAAAACAAAACACTTTCGACAGTCGACTTGAGAATCTCCTTTTCGAAGTCGATCGAAAAGACAAACTTGCGTGAACTTGTTTCAATTCAGTGAAAGTCTCTTTTGGAGTCGGGCTGGTATCTTGGTGATGATGAGCGTCCTTGGGAGTGTATCCTGGCTAGGAAGCTGGGTGTATACGTGAGGGTTGATGCTGTTGGTCTCACTGGGGATGGCCCAGTTCTACCCTCTAACCAGTGCGTTGTCATTTCACCTTTGCCCTGTAAAAGAACGGGTAAAAAGATTGTACGTCTTTTTACATCTAAGATCTAAAATGTATTATATATATATGTAAATTATAATTATTTAGTACTAACTGCACCCGCGACTTCGCCCGTGTGGAATTTTATTTTATTTTTCTAAAATAAAAGTTGCCTAAGTTACTCCTTATTACATCAGCTACCTGCTAATAAAAGTCCCATCAAAATAGGTCTAGCCATTTCAGAGATTAGCTGGAACAAACAAACAGACAGACAGACAGTGAGACAAATATTATAAAAAAATATATTTTGGTGTATGTGCCGTATTTATATTCATATGCATATAGTAAAAAACGTTTATTTCCATATTACAAACAGACACTCCAATTTTATTTATATGTATAGATTGTTATTGCTATGCCTTATTTTATTTTTCTAGTTCTTTCTTGCGCCATCTACCACTTTCAGTCTTCTTTCCTCTATCCAAAGGTTGTCTGGAAGAGATTACTTACGCGATAATATCGCCTTTTGTACCTTATTACTTCTATTTATGTTCTTTGTAATTTATTTCTGGTGCAATAAAGAATAAATAAATAAATCTTAAACAATGCGATGCGACGGACTGTCTCCTAGAAAGTATTGCATCCATTTTTTTTCGAACTATACTAATGCTGTTGGCCGCAGTTTACAGCTTCACCGAACTATAGGGGGAGTAGGCCAGTGGAGATGGCACTCGAAACCCGCGGAAGGACTTATGGAGCAGCTGAAGGCCATCTCCCGCCTGACCGATTCGACTTTAGTCTGAGGGCATCGCTAGGGGTTCGAACCTCGGCTCAGGCCGTCGTGATTTCGATACCCGTTTGAATTATGTAGACCGAGGATCGAGCAGAGGGCTAAATAAATACTGCGCTAACGCTTCTATGGAGCAAGATAACTGTGTATAACAGAAATAGAGTAAGTATCTATAGATTAGTAGTAAGAAGATATTGTCGGGATTCCATATATATAATTCTGGACATGAGTGTGTTACCTAACTCCTAAACGGCTACACTGATATGGATGAAATTTTGTGCACACATTTCAATAAGTTTCTGGTGTTCAGTAAGTGACTTTTGCTTTTCCGGACAGGACGACGTCTGTTGGGTCTAGGTTGGACATCATCATCATCTGCTTCTTCCTTATCCCATTTATTTGGGGTCGGCGTAATATGTTTTTCTCTTCCATTCATCTCTGTTCGCAGTCATTCCGTTATTTACTCCCTTTCTCACCATACCATCTTTCACACAGTCCATCCATCTCTTTTTCGGTCTTCCTCTAGGTTGGACATTATAATGTGATTTCATTTATTACCTTCACATCAACTAATCCTCTGGGCGTTGTTATGAATTGTCCAGTTTTATCTAAAGCTCTTTTCACATCTTCGGAAATCTGGATTTTCATTGCTGTAAACATATAAATAAATAGTTTTTAATATCAACTGAGAATATGATATTCTAATTGGGCATATAGGACGTTATAAATACTTATATAATACATGATTATAGATATAGCTAGATAGATAGGTAGATTTAAGTTATTATAAGCACTGAGAAATAAAATCTTAAAACTTGAGTTGTAGAAATAAGACATAAATAAATAAGAATGTTTAAATTTTATTTACTTATTTTTATTTCCGTATTACGATAAGCGATGGTGGCCAGTTACCAAAAATACGCCACACCTGTTGTTATTTTAATAAAAAAAACTCTACAAATTGTAATGTCTTTATCGGTATTGTAAACCGATTGTCTATGTGCTGCTGTGAAGATGTTAAGGGGGCTCGAGTTGCGGGGGCGTCGAAGTCGTCACAGTAACTAGTTGGTGCTTTGCACTTGGTCTTCTTGTGTTGTAATTCTTGCACTGCGACCATCTCGACAACCCGCACTTCGAGTCCCGTCAGCATCGTCCACAGCTACCCCTAAATTGATCTAAAGCCGAAAGATCGTTTATTTTTTCCACTGTCTGCTATGCTGAATGAAATGAAAAATGATTATTATTATTGCTAATTGCTATTATATTTTTACCAAATATAGACTATATTAAGCCACCAACTCGCTTTGTAAGCTATGTTTCGGTTGTAGGTTAAGATTAGATAGTGTAATTACAGGATAAGAAACTGGACAGTTATGGAATGACATGAGTGGAATTAGAGGTGTCATATGATAACGTGATATCCGTGGTGCTTTCACATAGGCGACGGTTACCGCTTACCATCAGGCGGGCCGTGAGCTTCTTTGCCATTCCAATTTGACGGCCTCGGTGGTTTAGTGGTTTAGCTGTACTTCCGATGGTCGCGGGTTGGATTCTTCGCACGGTGCAAACATTTTGATTCATGAGTATGATTGTTTGTATCGGTCTGGGTGTTTTCTATGTATGTTATGTATGTATTCACAAAAAAAAATATCTAAGTATTTATATCAGTTGTCTAGTACATATAACAAAAGTTCTACTTACCACGGGACTAGATGGCGCTGTGTTAATTGTCCAGGGTTATTTATTATTATTTACAATTAAAAAAAAACTGGTGTTGAACAACACACTGAATTAATACCAGGGATAACTCACGTTCACCAGTACTTTCCATCCTGCTAGCAGTGTTTATAGTGTCTCCAAAAAGGCAGTATCTAGGCATCTTGGTACCGACTATACCAGCCACGCAGGGCCCAGTGTGGATGCCGCTCCTCATACATAAGGCCTGTATAAAAGTTATATGAAAAGAATCCTTCATAAACATTGTTTAAAACTTCTTTCACTTGTGCACATTATGCAGGGTTAGTCGGAAATGGTATACTAAGCTGGAAGGATATGAAAATACCCATTGATAAAGAACAACTTTTGTTCTACGACTTTTCCGGAATCCAATTTTTTTTGAGAAAAATTATATCTACGTTGGAATATATGTATGGAATATTTTTTTTAATTTTATAAGAAATAAAATTAAAAAAAATATTCCATACATATATCAGGACAATTCAAACAGCGCCATCTAGTCCCAAGCTAAGCCGAGCTTGTGTTATGGGTATGGTATGATTTTTTTTCTAAATACATACATAATATACATAGAAAAGACCTAGACATATATAGAAATACAATAATAACTTTTCCTTCCATACAATAAACCCTTTTCGACTAACCCAGTATTATAATAACAGGATATTTAGCGTTATAATTTTATAAAGATATTTACAATGATAATTAAAGCAGAGTTATCTTATGTAGCTGATAAGTGAGAGGTATTAAGGGGTATGAGGAAAATACGGAGATAATTGAAAATGCAAGAGCGTTTGTTTTAAGAAACAAATTGTCAACTGTCAAAAACAGTGTCAGCTACATTATGTGACTAATATGACTGACTGTCTGGTTATCCGCACTCCCCTAGGAAGGTGAAGGGTTTTTTATGGATGATAATGGAATGATGCACCCGACTGCACTAACGGTTTACGCTGGAGGGCACCAGTAGAGGATAAGGTGAGCATGAGGTCAGGGCAGTTAGGCTATCGTGATAAATTCACCGGGAATTAATTATGGTGGTTTTCAGGGGAACCGCATGGAGGTCAACCTGACATGGTATATTGCTAGCAATGGGATCATCAATCTATATTACTAAAAATTCCCTTTACCCCCTCCGCAGCCCCCTAGGGAGGCGAAAGTTGGGGCATAGGGATCACCCCTATGCCCCAACTTTGCCCCGGCATCAACTCCGGGGTGCAACAATATTTGGGTGACTGGCTTAAAATCTCTAGTGCGAGTATACTTTAAGTACTTAACCTAACTTGCTAAACGAAATGCCATACTTGAGGACAATTTTTTTTATATTAATTTTATATACAATTTTTTTTTATACGACAGCGATTGTTTTAAGAAAAACATTGTCAACCGTCAAACTCGGGTGTCAGCTACATCATGCAATAAAGCACAGAGTAATGCATCATGCAAAGCGGTAAACTGTACAATCTATAACACTGAGACTGTATTACCTAAGTAGGTACCTGATCGGGGCGATGGGGAAGGCGGCACATCGACGTTGCCTCTAGAAGTTCTAACGCCATGCTCGCTATTTCTGTAGCATGTTTGTTGCCTGCAAAATGTATGAAAACTTGCGTGACTTTCTTATATACAATTAACGGGCACTCTTATATATAAAAAACGTAACAAAATTCAAACAACAAAACAGCGATTTACTTCCCCGCTAAATAGTGCATGTGTTAGGAATGCTAGACAACTGATAGCAATATTTTAATACATTTTTTTGATAATAGCTACATAATATACAAATATTTGTATCGTGAATATATTTTGCGACCATCGGTTGTAAGACGGTGTGCTAATCCGCATGACTATCGATGTCACCTATGTATTGCAAAATGGCCAAATAAAAAGTAATAATTCTATAGAGAAAGTATTAAGTAGGAAGAAAGAGAACATATGGCATCTCATTTGTATCTGTCTACTACAAAGGAGATTGGATATTTTTTACAATTATATATTTATAAGTGTTTACAGTCCGCATAGACTTATATTGATAGCATCTGTACACTTACCATTTCTGACGGGCAGTCCTGAAGCGACCATGTACGAATCGCCAATAGTCTCTATCTTGTACACGTCGTAGCATTCGATACGTTCGTCGAACAATTTATATACAGAGTTGAGGAAACTTATCACCTGAAATGACCAAACAACACTTTTTAATAACAATTAATTAATATTGCAAAATGGCGGACATTCTTTGGAGCAAATACGTAATTATACAACAATTGATAATTTATAACACTTAAACGTTTCTTTAGTGTTTACAAGTACGCTCTATCATGCGCGACTCACGCGAAGAAGAATTAACATGTAAATGTTGACGAAGAGAACAACGCGTGGTCTACGCGTGGCACCACCTTGTGTGTTTTCGCGTCCTTCAATCGTGCGTGCATTAGTTCCTTTTAATAATAATTTATTAATATTACAAAATGGCGGACATCTGTCTATGGAGAAAAGAATAAGAAGAACAATTATAGAGATATGTATAGTTTATAATATTTAAATATGTATTTGGAAAATAAAATCTGTGAAGTAAACAATAAAATTTTAAAAGAAGGTGAAATTACATGAACCCTACGTGGAAAAAAGTGAACACAAAATGTAGTAAAATATAATTAAAGCCACGATTGCGCGCGCTGATAATCCCGCACTTAATCTCGCGCGCTTCTGATCACGCGTGAAAGAATGTGTCGTGTAAGGGCAGTTACTAATATTGAAGGCCGTTTATAACTTATAGAAGTTTTATCTCTTCATAGATTCCCATCCCTTTCTAACATACTCAACTACACTACACAGATATACAGAAATAGGGATATTACATCATCTTTATAGAATTATTTTTATTGTTTATTTTCGATGTTAGCGACAAACAGCTGCAAACTGCTTTAATGGTCTTATTATTTTTAAATTTATGATTTGGAATACACTTTTGTATTTAATTATTTACTAGCCACTACAACACTACTAATTTTCGTAAGTGAACAATTACATTTTTTTATGTTTAGCGTAAGAATTTTAGAAAGGCTAAGGTGGCACCAAAAAGTTTTGAAAACACTGGTATATAGTATAACATGCACGTATTATACATATAAACATTTCTCTTGAATAATCTATCTATTTCTGAAAACTGCATCTTCCGTTGCGTAATTTAAAAGATGTAAGAGACAGCGGCGACGTCGACTTCGTTTTATGTTGCTTCGCAGTTGTATTTGTAATTTAAAACATTATAAAAACCTTCGTATTTTCTGTCACAGATACGTTCCATCGATTCGTCACATTCTTTATGGCATAGTGATATACTACCCCGATTCAGAAAGGTCATGGCTTCAAATCCGATTGTTAAATTATATACTTATTGTTTTAAATTTGACGCGGTCATTATTTATACGTACAATTAATAAAAATCACGGGATATTACCACGTTTTATTTTTATTGAGTTCCCGATATTTTGGCTGTGTTTTTACCGTCCTGTTCTCGGGTAAACTGATGTGTTTATTACTGACAATCTGATAATAAAACAACATAGCGACAGCACACATACACTCATACACACACATCCACACACAAACACATACACACAATTATACTCACGAACATGTACCATGCAAATTTGCATCCTACAGCAGCAGTATTATTATTACCATTAGTATTTAATATCTAGAACTCAAAATACGCACACTATTTTATTTCATAATAATTAATCCAAATTTTCACCTAGGGAATGTAACTGGATGTCCTTCATACAGGTCATTATAATGACCTAGTAAGGACAGCAGTGACATAATGTTATGTTGAGACTTAAATATTATATCTGTTTCTTCTTTTTTAATATACTGTATTTTTTTTTTTGTAATTTATATTGTCTTATAAAATGTGTATGCGTGTATATCTGTTGATGTAAATAATAATTTATTATTAAAAAAATTATTAACTTAGTTGACATGCTAAATTTCTGTGGGTATATTAAATTTGACTACAACATGGCAGGAAGTCGCTGCCGTCTCTCTGATTAACTTTAGTTTGTCGATCGTTTACAAGTGTCATTAAACTTTATTACCGGAGAGTAAGTTAGAAACTGCTAAAGTTTAACTCACGAACTAACGACCTTTGGGGTCTAAATCGAAGTAGTAAACACCTAGATTTAGTTTCTCAATATATAGGACATTTCGCAAGTGGCATAAACTTTGAAGCATAAACTAACCTGATATGGCGTCGACACAGCTGCAATTGCTGTGAATCCAACAATATCACTGAAGTAAACGGTCACTGAAGCGAAGAACTCAGCTGGCACCTGCATCATAAACATTATTGTTATACGACTTTGGAGGTGTAGTAGATTTAGCCCCCTGCTTAACGTTCCGCAGGTCGCTTGTTCGATGATTGCGTTAAATACAAGTTGGTGAGGGGTTTTTTAAGGATGATAATGGAATGGTGCTAATGGTTTACGCTGGCAGGGTACCAGTGTATGATAAGAGAGCATGAGGTCAGGTCACTTAGCCCATCGTGACAAATTCACTAAGAACTTATCACGATGGTTACCAGAGGTACCGCATGGGGGTAACCTGATATGGTACATTGCTAGCAATGAGATCATTAGTCCACATTACCAACAATCCCCCAGCTTGTAAGGGGTTATAATTTATAAACAGCGGCTACATCTGAGTGCTTTGGTCCAATTCAAACAGGGATTGAAACTACGACTGCATGAGCTAAGGTTCGAACCCCTACCGGTGTCTTCAGACTAACGTCATATCCGTCAAGTAGCAGTTAGCCGACCGCTGCATAAACCCTTCTGCAGGTTTGGCGTGACATCTGCACTCGCCGCCTATCGTTCAGTTCTACAGGCCAGCTGCAGCCACCAATAGAATAGTTCGAAAAACACTAATAAACAGATAAGTCAAATTTATAACAAACTTTTTTGCGTCGGGGGTTAAAATAAAAATACATGTTACTCACTCTAATAATGTATCATATTAAAATTGAAAGAATTTTTAACAAAAGTAATTTTAAGATTATCCATTATTAAAAAAAAATACGATATAGGAACAAGAATTAGAAAAAAATTATATATTATTTAGAAGAATATTCAACAAAAGAGCTTATTCCTTCTTAAAAGGCCGTCAACGCGCTTGCAATTCCCCTATTATTGTGGGTGCTTTTTTTTATACTACTATAGTGGCAAACAGGCACATGGCCCATCTGATGGTAAATGGTTACCGTAGCTTATAGACACCTGAAACACCAGGTGGTCACGTGCGCGTTGTCGACCCTTAAGAAACCTTAATATACCCTTCTTGAAGAAGAAGTGCTCAAGGGCGACGAGAATCACTTACCATCAGGTGAGCCGCACTTCCCCTATGCTATTAAAACTTAATTCATCTTAAATTACTATTGTTATAACACAAGATTGGAATTTCTTGATTGAAACTCGATGTGTATTTAAATTGATTATACACAGCAACAAAATACTTATGAAAATGACTGAGTTAGAAATGTTGACAATTTTTATTCTGCCACCCGCAGCAAAGCGTTCTATTTTTATAGGCACAATTATATGTATATAATAGTTTTAGATAACTACTCGCTAACCCCATAAACGTTGTTTTGACATATAAATTAAAATCGCTATTAAAAAATAGGGGTTGGTGGTAGAAGGGTGAAAATTTAAGGCTGTATATATTTTTAATGCCCATGTGACATACCCGTAAATATAATAAAAAAAAATTGTCGAAAACTTAAAGTTATAAAAATTAGTTATAAACCTATTCTCGGACCTACTAAATATACGTAAAAATTTTAGTATAAAATAGAAGTATAAAAACGAAACCTGTAACGTGAGGATTTTATATATTTAGTTATGTCTGTCTGTCTATATACCTGTTGTGTTTGCTTCAGCTGTTTCGCTACGCTCGCGGGCAGCATCTGATAAAGTAATGAGTCACTCAACTCTTTCTCATATTCTAATTCACGAGCTTTTTCCGATAGATTTCTTGCGTACACCTGAAAAACGATTTTAAAACAGTTACCCCATTAGTGTAGTCGCCCAATGGGTATTTATTTTTGAAATTTGATAACATACTAGAGAATGCCATATATTTAAATTGAAATGAAAAAATAATTTATTTATGTCGGATTTTTAGTCCTATATAAATCATAGTTTTTGAATTAATAATATTTCTTACCGCCCAGTTTAGTCTTTAGATTCAATTGAGAAGAAGAAAGGCTCCAGAAAAAATATACTATTCTATTATAATTATTATAACTTCTTGAAGAAAATTACTAAATGATAGTGAAACCTTATCAAATCAGTCGTCCAGTCCGTGGTACGCCGAAGTAAAGTTTGTTTTCTTTATAAGGAAATGCAAATGACTGTACCCAAACAGCCATGGCTTAATGTACCTTAATAGTCCAGTTATTTAAGCTTAAATTAGGTAAGAATCTCGGAATGCGAGATACCCAGCTGTAATTTTGTAAATACTTGTATATTGACACCCTAAAAGTTGTCCACAAAACATATGGTAGGGTGTGCGCATATAATAAATTTCAAGGTATCAAAAAAAAATTTTAAACTTTGAACTGTTTCCGAGATAGAGGGCGGAGAGACTTATAGTCCAGTCATTATAGACTGGACTATATTCACAAATGGGTAAGTAGAATCTTTGTTACCGAATACAGTATTCTTTTCAGTCCTAGATTAATGCAAATAATAATCACAATAGAACAGGAGAGTGTAAAGCGTACAGACAGATATTTAATATATCTGTATAATATTAACAGTATTTAATATTCACAAATGAGCAAATTGTATTACCACAGATAATATAATTTTGTTCCAAGTCTGTGTTGCCATCTATACATATAAATAAAATTGGAGTGTCTGTTTGTAATATTGAAATAATCATTTTTTACTACATATCTATGAATATAAATACACAAAATAACATTTTTTACAATTTTTATCTGTTTGTCTGTCTGTCTGTTTGAAATGGCTGGACCGATTTTGACGGGAATTTTATTGGCAGGTAGCTGATGTAATAAGGAGTAATTTAGGCGCGTGTACAGCTAGTAGATAATATAATTTTGTTCCAAGTCTTAACTAGATTCATGCGACTAAGAATAACAATAAACCAGGAGAGTGTACAGCGTACAGACAGACATATAACATACCTGTATAGTATTAACAGCGTTGGTGACTAACGCTATGATGATGGGTGACACCACACACACAAGTACGAGTATCGCCGCACACACAGCCTCGCTACGTCTGGCCTCCCGGAGACTCTCTGTCACACCCTCTCTGCAAACAAATTAATCTAATTACTAATTAAATTCCATTCGCTATGATACCACGTGACCTTTTTTTTTGAATGACATACAAGTTGATACAATGGAAAATAGACCTAATTAGAAACTAGTACTTAACACAAACATATAGACTTAAAGGAAGTAATATAGAAGATCTAGGCGATACAGTTTTATACTACAGTGGTAAAGATGATAGAAACCACCGTCACGGTACAGCAATTATGATAAAGAAGCAATTTCATACGACCGTCACAAATTTCTTGCCAATATCTGATCGCGTTTTGTTACTCCAACTTCAAGCCAAGCCGGTTAATATCAACATAATCCAAGTATATGCTCCAACAACTGATCATAGTGACGAAGAGATTGAAATTTTTTACGAAGACATTAGCAAAACCATAAAAATTCTAAAACATTCTGAATTGAACATAATCATGGGCGACTTTAACGCCAAAGTGGGCGAAGGAAAAGTCCCAGACATAATAGGTAATTACGGTTTGGGGACTCGTAATGATCGCGGCGACCGTTTAATAGAGTTCTGCCAAGTCCAACAACTAGTAGTCACAAACACACACTATAAATTACCTCCACGTCGTCTATATACTTGGAAATCACCTGCTGACTCATTGACAAACATAAGAAGAAATCAGATAGATTATATTTTGATAAGTAAACGATTTAGAAATAGCATCAAATCAGTTAAGACTTACCCTGGAGCTGATGTCGGCTCAGACCATAACCCTCTCGTAGCGGATATGTCTATTAGATTAAAGAAATTACTACGTCGTAATAAAAGAACTGTTATTGACGTTACAAAACTTAAAAATAAAGATGTTAGAAGTGAATTTCATATATCGCTAAACAACAAAGTACGAGAATTACAACAAAAAGAAGCGGAACTGATAGCAGAACCGTGCAGAATTTGGCTAAACTTTAAGCAAGTCCTACTTCATACTTCTAAGGAGATACTTTCGTCAGATAGTCCTGTGAAGAAGAAAGAATGGATCACAGACGAAATATATAATCTGATGACACGAAGACGACTGGCAAAATGTGTGGATGTTCGGAAATATAAAGTTTTGCACAGAGAAATAGGGAGGAAATGTATTGAAGCACACACAAATCTACCTTCATCACGCTACCAAAGACAACTAACGCCAAACAATGTAGTGATTACCGAACAATTTCTCTAATGAGCCACGTCTTAAAGATTTTTTTAAAAATAATACATAGGAGAATAGAAGAGAATATCTCAGCTACACAGTTTGGTTTCCGGGGAGGATTTGGAACCCGTGATGCACTTTTTGGTTATCACGTCCTGATGCAACGATGTTGGGATATGAATCAACCTGTTTACGCCTGTTTTATCGACTATGAGAAAGCATTTGACTGTGTCCAACATTTTAAACTTATCCAAATTTTGGAAAAGATTGGTCTAGATGCGAATGACATTAAAATCATTCGCAATCTGTATTGGAAACAAAAGGCAAATATAAAAGTAGACCAAAAAATCTCTGCAGATATAGATATTCTCGTCTGCATACTCTCACCGCTGTTATTTAATATCTATGCGGAAAATATTTTTTCAGAAGCTTTGGAGGACTTGTTATCAATGGTAAACAATACAGGTATGCTGACGATACCATAATGTTGGCTGCTACTCGGGATGATCTGCAAAGCCTGATGGACCGCGTTCAAAATGTGAGCACAGCACATGGTATTAATATTAACATCAAAAAGACTAAATTTATGGTTGTAAGTCGTGCAACTCAGACTTTAAACAATGTCATATTTTTGAAAGATAGTCCACTGGAGAGGGTAAAGTCTTATAAATATCTCGGATGTATTGTGGACGAACAGGGAGACCATAGTACGGAAATCAAATGCCGTATCGAACAAGCGCGAAATGCATTCATGAAATTGAGCAGTCTACTTTGCAATCGATCTCTAAAAATAGCGACTAGAGTTAGATTACTGCGCTGTTATGTCTTTTCTGTTCTCCTGTATGGCGTTGAAGCGTGGACTCTTACACAAACGATGTGTAAGAGAATACAAACTTTCGAAATGTGGGCTTACAGGAGAATGTTAAAGATATCGTGGAGGGATAGAGTGCGAAACGAGACTGTTCTCCAAAGAGTACAAAAAAAGACATATATATAATGCGGAATGAAAAATACAGTCTTCTGCAATTAATTATACAAGGGAAAATTCAGGGTTGCCGAAGACCAGGCAGATGCCGTACTTCCTGGTCAAAAAACTCATGCAGTGGTTTAAGATGAGCACCAGGTCCCTTTTCAGGACCGCCGCGGACAAAGTAAAGATCGCCATAATGATCGCCAACCTCCGATAGGAGATGGCACCTAAAGAAGAAGAAGAATATACTGCTGACCCCGCGGTTTCACCCGCGTTAAATTTCAATAAAAAAATATAGCCTATGTGGTATTATGATGCATAAGCTATATTACTACAAAGTTTCATGAAAATCTGTTCAGTAGTTTTCGCGTGAAAGAGTAACAAACATTTATACTCACAAACTTTCGCGTTTATAATATTAATTAATAAGATTCATATCCGTAACATAAAAAATATATAACGATTTCCCGCCAAAACTGTTTTTGGATTGAGTTTTACATCCGATGGTCGCAGATATGATTCGTCAAACTATGTAAACATTTCCGATTGCGCTAAACTAGATGGCGCTGTGTGAATTGTCCAGGGTTATAATAATAATAATATTCATTATCTTTAGTTTAGTTTCTTATTATTATTATTAAAATTACATTATTTAACCATCGTCTCGTTTTTAGACGAGGAAAAATGTTAGGACACTTGATACGGCACGATGATTTCATGAAAATTATTATTGAGGGGAAAATAGAAGGAAAGAGGGGGAGGGGAAGACCAAAGAATAGCTACATCAAACAAATTGAGGACAAAATGGGAATCGTGTCGTATCAAGAATTAAAGAGCATGATGGAAAATCGCGGAAAGTGGCAAGAGCTCCACCGACAAGAGCGTAGCTCTTAAATTATGAATGAATGAACCATTAATTTAATAACTTACCTAATATATTCTCTTAGCTGTTTCTGCACAGCTCTTAATTTATCCAGAAGTGTAGCGGTTTGGTCGAAATATTCAATAGCATCTGCCACGCTACCGTTCTCGTGTTTGTTGTCCACAATTTGTTGATTTCTGTAAAACAATATTACACAATATCACTTTTGTTTAAAAAACGGCCAAATACGGCCAACAACATTGGTTCGAAAGAAAAACAAATTGCATTCCTAAATTACGATTGACTTAAATTATCATGCATGTCTGTCATACATAAATCTTCATGCATTCAGCTCACGCCACCTACCACGATCTTTTATCAATCTTTGCAGTTGTTGATACGACACGACTCCAACTTTTCTTTAACTTCTTGATATAGCTGTGTCTTGGTTTTCCCCTTTCTCTCTTTCCATCTATTTTTCCTTCGATAATAATATCAATAAGTTCGTCGCGTCGTATCAAGTGTCCAACCAACCCCAACATTGTCCCCGCCTATTCACAATAATATTTATGATCTGTCTTTTTTCTTTACCCGTTTCAAGTACTTCTTTGTTTGTTTTTTTTTCATTTCTTATTTCATAAATCTATATGAATGAAAATATATTTAGATGATGGAGTATATAGAAATATATTATAACTATACTTATTAAAGTGGAACGCTTCACAAGCAAGAGTTTGTCGATATTATTCACCACAACAAAATACTATTAAGTACTTACTATATGGTATTGTTAACATCCCTTCTCATATATGTTTGTTTATCTAATTAGTCTGATTTTTGCTTTTTTTTTAAAGATAATTAAAAATAATTAATATTGTTGAGAATTTAATAATTATCCAAATAAGTACTTAGAAAATCGAATTCCCACCAAATAGTGTCTTTGTTCTTATCCCAATGCTAAATTGATTGCTGTACTTTAGTTAATATTGAAATTAAGTAAAATACATATAATTAAACTTCTCAATTTCATAAATTTGATATTGCTTAAATATATATATTGTATACATACTAGCTGACGGCAAACGTTTTGTCATATAAAGTTATAATATCGCTATATAAAAATAAGGGTTGGTGATAGAAGGGTAAAAATTTTGGCTACTCTTATCACTTAAGGGAAAAAATACATAACCAATTCTCAGACCTACCGAATGTATATAAAAAAATCATCAAAATAGGCCAAGCCGTTAAAAGATACATAGTGTGAGATGTCATACTATATACATGATAATTTTATATATTAGATTAGATATATATTTAGTCTGAAACAGCCTTCCGTGAAATAAGTATGTATGTGTGTGTATGACTAAAACAGTAAATCTAGCTTTCTATTACTTAAAGATTTTGTTTTAAGCAGAACCGCAAACTAGCAAAAAGGCCCTGAACGAAGAAAGTATCAATATTCTCACATATTAAACCTTTTTAACACATCTGTAACAAAGTTGATTACGCAAAAACAGTGGAAAACTTTTCTCTTATTGGAATATCCGACCTTGTCCTTTTATTGTTCATAAGGTAACAGGGGGACAGTTTTATGGGAAATTCAAAATGAACGCTGACTCAGTATCCGTAGCGGAAAAACAAGCACATTAATTCAAGTGCATTCACTGCACAATGTACAGTTTGGTACAGAAGTGCTTTAATAGACTTTAATAGAATTACTTGTGACCCGAGAGCCGGTAGCTACGTTGCCCAGAGGTTAAGTCTGGCCATTCAAAGAGGCAACGCCAGTATCTTAGGTACGCTGCCTCGATGTGCCGCGTTGGATTACAATGATTGTTTTTATTGGTATATGTTTTTATATATAAAACAAGTGCTGTAATTAGTTTTACGATAATTTCAAAAAACATATTTTAGGAAGACTAAAAAGTCACAAGCTTGCACGTCAGTCTCACATATTTTTTTAAAACAGATACAGTTAATGGAACAGTGCCCTCGCAGCGATAACTTAATAGGCTGGCGAGGCACCAGTGCAGTATGAAAAGATGAATATGAGATCAAATCAGTAAGACCATCGTGACAAATTCATCAGGAACTTATCACGATGTTTTCCAGGGTGAACCGCGTAAAACTAACATGGTACATTGTTAGCAATGGCGTTATCAGGCCACATTACTAACAATTTCCTTCTTTTCAGTCTCATCTACTTCAGCCGCCAAGTAGCTTGCTATATTGCAGTTGTTGGATGCAGATTTATGATACTGTTCTATCGAATAGCATCTCATGATATCCTTATAAATATACTTTGTTATTAGTTTGTACATTTTAGAGATATAAAAAAATAATTACTAAGATCCTTTCGGACATTTAGTCGTGAAAAGGTAAATAGACAGACACATTTTGTACCCGTCCGAAGCAAGGTTGGTTTACCGGTATTCAATTATTTGTTAGTAACGTGGGTGGTTGCGGCATTGGATGCGATTGTCTTTCAGAATATTACCAATTAGGGTGGAATACGGAGACATTGCTTATATTGAACTTGTTATCTCCCGTTTTCGTGGAAAACCATAAAATCCCTACTTAATTGCTGCCTACTACACTTAAAAATACCTTAGCGAAATATCAAGTTTCAGAATATTTACTTTTATGTTTAAGCGTAGTCAGAATATTAAGAAAAACATCAACGATATTCAGAAAGATAATATTAATATGTGAAACAAAAACTTTTTACCCTTACTTATAAAAATAACACGTGTATGAAATTTGCCACCGATAAATTTTATATTGCGAAGGAGTGCAGACATATACTCTTTTTTTAAAGTAATTTAATAAAATACATACACTAATAATAATGATATTACACATATGTAGACCAAATATAAATTAACGTGTATAATAATTTATTCGACAATCCGCATCTTTTACTGTCTTTTTTGAGATAAATGATAGCTTTATAGCCCTTACACAAAACGTTATTTTCACGAGCGCACGCGATTTAGCGCGGGAAATTCAGAGCGCGTGGTTTTGAGGGACTGCATTTAACTATTTTTTGTATTCACTTTATCGCGCGTCATTGCGCGTATTTTCATATTTTAAGAAAGGTGTTACATATGAATGTGGATGGTTATAAGGGCAGAGGAAGGCAAAAGAGATGGATGGACTGTGTGAAAGATGATACGGTAAGAAAGGAAGTAAATAACGCGATGACTGCGAACAGGGATGAATGGAAGCGAAAAACATATTACGCCGACCACAAATAAATGGGATAAGGAAGAAGCAGATGATTGCGCGTCGCGTATTTTTATGTCATTTCACGTTCTGTTATAATTTTAATTTTATTCCACAGATTTTATTTTTCATTGACACGATTTATAAATTATTTATAAATTATCAATAACTCTTTAGTTATGTCCATTCATCATATTCCGATGTCAGCCATTTTGTAATAATAATTAATTATTACAAAATGGCGCTGAAACACGCACGATAGAAGAACGCAGGAGTTTTTCTCGTTCTCTTCTTCTACATTTACGTGCTCATTCATTCCTAAGTGAAAGTCGATTCGCGCGTGAAAGAATGTACGTATAAAGCCAGCTTGTACTTCATCCAGACTATTTATAATAGTATGACATAGTATAGAGTGTTATTCTACGTACACCGAAGCATGAAGATCGCGGTTTGACAATTTTAACGTAAATTAAAAGTTAAAAGTAAAATAATTAAATAAATAAAAGCAAAACTATTTTGTTACGCATCTGTACTGCGACAGTATTGAAATTTATTATATGGTTGCACACTATCGACTGTGAATTATTGCGAAAATATACGACGCCGCAGCTCTACTGTAAGTTATTGTTTTGGTGAAGTCATGAATAACCATTAAGGAACTTATAGTGACATGTAATTTGAACTTAGTGTATAAACAAACTTAGTACTAATAAGAGTAGTATCCTGGATAATTCAGTGCCAACTAGTGCTAAGCTAAGCAAAGTAAAACTTGTGTTATGGGTACTACATAACTGATATCTATACTTAAATACATTTTTTATGTAAACACAATATAAATCAATTAGACCTATAAACAATCATACAAGAAATGCAAATGATGGCACCGTACGAGGAATCAAAGCCACGGCCATCGAAAGTCAGGTGATTTGATAAACCGCTGGACCACCGAAGTCGATAAAAAATAGCCCAAAACCGTCATCACCTCAAATTTACCAAAGATCCGTTCAGGTGTCAATATTTCAAATGTAACATTCTGCATTTATTATAATAGTATAGATTTGGGAAAGAATACATGTATGTACGTACAAAAATTTATGTACTTCAAATTCAGATATTAATTTAGGATGTTTTAATATAGTTGGAATGGCAATCAAACTGACGACCTGATGGTCAGCGGTAACTGTTGCGTACATAACTCCACAATAGACAGACATCACAATATCATGTTACACTCGCGATATCACTTACGCGTTGCTATTACAGAGAACTAAGATATCATGCTTCTTATCCTGTAATTTTGTTTCCTAACTGAAACAGCTTACAAGCAACTGTTTGATAGTTAAAATAGGTGAGACTGAGTTAGGAGGTAGGGGCGGCACAAGCTGCTCCTAGATCGCTACCGGGCCGGGGTGCCGACCGCGGGGGCGGTCCCACACCACCGCACTAGGGGGAAGTGGTTGGTTCCGCCAGGGTATACCTAGATATACCTATGTAGGTAGGTAGGTAGGTAGGTATACCTCTAGAAGAAGATTACCTTTAATAATTGAGTACTACTCACTTCTTTTCCAAAACTTGGTACTCGGGGCTGTCTTCTTTGATGTCCTTGTGCAGTGGTATGAGTGAGGGTACCAGGTTCAGTGTGTTGTCCAACAGATCTCTTCCCAGTACCATGTGTGCTATATATCTGGGAAATATATTCTCAATCAATAATAGAAAAATATTGTTTTTAACAGATAACAATAGAATTGAAATAATATCATCATCATTGCCTTGTCTTTCCCAGAACCATGTGTGCCTATATATCGACTATATATTTCACGATCGATCAGAAAAATATTTAACGATAACAATATTGAAAAGAATATTATTATAATTGGCGCACGTGAGCACGATTGCTTCTGTGTTTCATGTATGCATATTCTTTTAAAATATTTTATATTCATATTTTATTTATTGTGGATATTTTTAAAATTGATAAAGTATCAACAAATCTGTAGTTAGCTTTTAGGGGTCGTTCAAGTATTACGTAAGCACTATGGGGAGGGGGGATCTTGGCTTTGTTTATGTTGGATGACATGGGGGGTGGGGTAGTCTAGATGTTGATTACGTCATAGGTAGTTGTTTACTTTTTACACGAAGTGCAACTCTCACATTGTCTTTGCTAAAAAAAACTATAATTGAAAATGTTTGCGTAATCATGGTGGTAAGAACTTTGCTTACTTTTGCTGAGATGGGAGATGGGAGGGGGGTGGGGGTAAATAATTGTAACAAATCTACTTGCGTAATACTTGAACGGGTCCTTTGCTCCATGGTCAGGTGTAGGTACGTCATATTTTAGTGTTAATTATGGCAAAAAGGCGCGAAAGCAGGCACGGATTAAAAGATATGTATATATACATGTAATGGCAACTATAATTTGCGGTCGGCTCAGTATGTCATCTTCTTCCACTTCTATATATATATATATAATATATGTATCGAAAATAAAACGGATTGGAAGTGACATTATGTGCTAAACCGATTACTAAGGATTTTAATATAATATAATATGTTCGATAAATAAATCCGTTCCTCTAAGGTTGCCTTGAAAATATTGGTTTCAGCAATAAGGCCGCCTTTTTGTATTTATATATGTGTAATTATTATTTATTGTTTTTCTTTACTGTATATAGCAAAGTGCATTTTGTCCATCTGTTTCTAATCTATACTATAAGAAAACATTATTATTACTAATAATTAAATAAAATATATACGAACATTTAACAGCTCCATTGGAATAGTAATATATATTGTATATTATAAGTAATAGATAATAAGCATAATTCATAATATAAAAGAAACAGTTAAATTAAGATTTCCTTTTTTTTTTATATAACTTTTGTATATTATTTTGCATGCCGTGTTAGCCTTTAATTGTACAATTAGACCATAACCCATCACATGTAATTAAATTAATTGTATAATTGTAACAATGGTTGGTGATCCTAAATATAATAAAAAAAAAATTAGGCCTTTCCTTATAGTAGGCTCAGGACGAAAGGTATTTTATTCAAGATTTCCAGTTTGTACGTTTCGGCTGAAGATCAGTTAGTCAAGACATGTTAATTTACGGTTATGTATGTATATATTTACCGTTCATGTGATCTAGGTTGCAGAGAGCCACGTGCGAAGTAATTAATTCCCAGTACTGAAGCGATGCCTTTGCACTCTATACTGCGTAACAAGTTTTTGAAGCCCATCAAATATCTGAAACAATAATCAAATCAAATAATTTATTGGAGAGAATTTATACAATGTGCTCTGTGAGTCCCTAATTTCTGTCATTAAGCAGATTTGCAACACAAGTTCCGGGATGAAGAGAGAGATAGGTGTATATGTTGTGATATTAATAAAAAAGAGACGCAATGTTCCCTTCAGAGTATGAACCTTGTTAGTGGGAGCAGTTTTTATATTCGGCTTGTTGTGTATTAAATCTTATATATAAAATTCTCATGTCACAGTTTTCGTTCCCATACTGCTCCAAACGGCTTGACCGATTCTCATGAAATTTAGTGAGCGTATTGAGTATGTCTGAGAATCGGCCAACATCTATTTTTAATCACCCTAAATGTTAGAGGTAGTCTACCCCTAACATTTTATTTTATTTTAAGGCAAAACAACGTTTGCCGGGACAGCTAGTGTAATATAAATTATTTAAAATAATATAAGGTTATGATTAAAGTTTAATGTTTGCTGATCAGTAATATCAGTAAGAAATAAAAAGGCATTATTATTATTATTTATTTATCTATATTTACTTAGAATTTAGTTACATACATATAAATTTATATAGAATAGTGTCAAGAGCACAACTAAGTAGGTATGTCTGCAGAACAAGTCGTTTTTATACAATATTTTATTTTCCCGCGAAAAACGCAATGCATCACAGATACACAATATTGTACGATGCACAGGATGACGAGCGTCATAGCTATATGCGATGTTTATACTTACTGAGTCTGTAAAATTAACAACCTGTAAAACAATATCTAGCAATAATTTTTATTTGCAAATTATGTAAATTAAAATTTCATTTTTAGTATAAATAATTTCATTTATACCAACCCTGTCCTGACATTTACAAATATTAAATAAAGGATTAGCTAAATACTGGTGGGTGTTGCCATTATGAAATAATTTGTATACATTTAGAATTTGTTTTTTACATATATAACTTCGTCAGAATTTCTTAATTAATTAATTGTATATAATAATCAAATATATCTGTTGTGGTAATTGTATAATTGTATAATATATAACATGGGATATATAATAATCGTATATAACAGGAAATGGCTTATTTAAAATGATTAGAAAAAGAATTTCTTAAGATTTATTTACTATTTTACCTATATAATAATATCTCAGGACAATTCACACAACGCCATCCAGTCCATAGCTAAGCAGAGCTACGAGTATGTTATGTGTACTAGACAAATGATAAAATACTTAGATATTTTTTTTTAATATGTCCATACTATACATGGAAAACATCCTCACCGATAGAAAAAATCATACTCATGACAACAAATATTTGTGCCGTGCAAGGAATCGAACCTGCGACTATCGGAAATAAATAAATGTGTGCTGAACCACTATATCAACGAGGTCGTCAGTACATATATAGTTATAAAATATTTTGTGAAAATTTCATCTAAATTCCTCTTGTCAACAGATAAACAGCAAACAGAGAGTTTTGTCTCTTTAAGATTTAAAACAAAATATTACATATAAAGATAAAGAAGAAAAAAATGAAGACGATTAAAATATTAACGTAATTTAAGAACCAAATAAAACCATATAAAGACCGGCTGCTGTGTTACCGCCGCCACCGATTCTTCAACTTAACTTTTCAGGGACTTTTCCATTTTTTTTGCTTCCAGTTTTAAGTATAATAAGAAAGAAAAAAATTTTTATAGATTATTTATTGTTCATTTATTTATTACCAATTTCTCTCAAAGTGACAAAACTGTGTCCGCGTATCCACTACTGATGGAAAAAACGAAAACCTATGTATACTATATTCCAAATGGTATGTGTAAGTCAAATGTGATGTAAATTCTAGTGGTGAAGCATACAGAAACAACTTTTCAAGAATGAAAAAAAATACATTATTCATGCTGTTTAGTTATTAACATTAGAAACAAAAAAAGGGACAAAAGAAAAAAATTAAAATGTATGAAATCTGTAACTTCCGTAAAAAAAATTTTTCAAACAACATCAAAAAAGACCTTAAATTACAAACAGACACATCAGTTTTATTTATTTGTATAGACATCATAAAAATAAATGCACTCACTGGCACAATGACGGGAGTGTAATTTTTTTTTTTGTGGATGTTAATGGAATGGTGCACCCGCCTGCGCTAACGGTTTACGCTGGCGGGGCACCAGTGGAGGATATTAAGATGAGCATGAGGTGAGGTCAGTTAGCCCATCGTGACAAATTCACCAGGAATTTAACACGATGGTTTCGAGGGGGGGAGTGTCATTAGCGCAGTTACCCTACATACAGTGCATTAATCACTCAGGATAAAGTATAGTATTATACATATATACATACTATATACATAATACTGGGTAAGGTAGGCTACGGTATAATTATACCAACCATTTGATACTTTAAAAATTGCTCCAATTATTCAACCTCACCCATATTGACCTTTTGAGATATGAATTTTTTTATTCACCTGCATTAGTCTATATTTTGGTTGTATATTTCCTTAAAATAGTGACCACGGTGGTCACTAGAACACTGGCGATTTAGGTTTAGTTGGTCGCGGGTTCGATTCCTCGCACGGTACAAATATTTGTATTCATGAGTATGATTGTTTGTATAGGTCTGGGTGTTTTCTATTTAGAAAAAATACATATTTAAGTATTTCTGTCAATTGTTTAATTCCCATAACGTAAGTACTGATTAGCTTGTGACTAGATGGCGCTGCGTGAATTGTTATCATTATTAATACACGAAGCAAAAACTTTGTACCCATTTTTATGAAAATTGCGCAGATGGAGGAATATGAAGTTTCCCACAATTATTCTTTTAAATTATGCATGAAAGACATAAAATAAATTAAAAAAAAACATTACACATACCTACTATCATGCATTTGACACACACGCACATATATATATATATATATATATATATACTCTTTTGTTTATTGTTAAAATATATATAGCTACTAGTTATTGCTGTATCAAAGACCATTTTGTATCATATATTATTGTAAATTTCAACCACAAGGCGATTATTAATATAGATAGGTGTATGAACTGCATTTGCAGTCCAATGTTTACAAATACATATAAAATACTCTGCAAATGAAATTAAATTAAGCATATATTAAACTGTAAGCGAACACTTGTTTGTTTCAATATCCACTTAGCTCACGATGCTGCAAATGTTTGAATACTGCAGTGACCTGTTTCTCGTGTATTGATTTCTGGAATATTCCACTTCAAATAAATACACTATCATATTTTATAAACTGAGGCCTTATATCGTAGTGGTTTAAAGGGGATTGGTAGGAATATGGTTAATAACTCCTTTGATAGCAAGGTACCATATCAGGTTGACTTCCCATGAAACCATCATGTTAAATTCCTGGCGAATTAGCCACGATGGGTTAATGGACCTGACCTCATATTCATCTTAGCATACTCCACTGGTGCCCCGCCAGCGTTTACTGTTAGTTCATGTGAGTGCCCCATTCCATTATCATCCATTATAAAAAAACACCGACTTAAGACCTTTAGAGTCGCATCTTGCTGACATTAGATAGATAATAAAACAAATTATAATTTAATTTATAAAAATAAGACTTATTGATAACTAGCTGTTCCCGCAACTTCGTCGGCGTGGAATTTAACTATATTTTTCTAAAAAAAATAGCCTTAAATTACTCCTTATTACGTCAGTTACCTGCCAAAAAAAGTCTCGTTATAATCAGTCCAGCCATTTCAGCCATTTCGCCTCGGTTGTTGGTGTTCAACTGAGGGCCTTTTGTAATTGGTTGCTATGAATATTTATTTACAAATAAAAAGCATACTGAAATAGCAATCATTCCTAAATCACTGTAACTTTACTATACTGTGTACGGTAGTATATCTTTCTGTAATGCAAATAAATGGCTTACTTACTCAGAGGAAATGAGCTTTCACAAAATTGAAAATTGAATGCGATTGCGCTGAAGGTAACGAGTTCATGACATTGAAATAGAGCTAGAGGGGCAGAGAGGATGATAATAATAATAATGTTTCAGGACAACTCACGTAGCGCCATCTATTCCCAGGGTAAGCTGTCTTATGGGTATTAGACAACTGATATACTTACATACTTTTTTGTAAACATATATGTATAGTAATATTAAACACCCAGACTAATACAATCATATTCGTAAATACAAATGTTTGTACTGTGCGAGGAATCAAACCCACGACCATTGAAGGTATGACGGTGTGCTAAACCACTAGACCACTGAGGTCGTCGATTATAACAGTTATTTATATGTAATTGAAATCGTACTAATATTATTATAAACGCGGAAGTTTGTGAGTGTGGACTTCACTTTACTTCACACTTCATTCTCGCAAAAACTACTGAATGCATTTTAATGAAACTTTACAATAATATAGCTTATATATCAGAATAAAATATAACTGTAGATTATAAATTTTACGCGGGCGAAACTGCTGGCACAGGTTCGATTCCTCGCATCAACATCAGTCATGGGTGTGATTGGTTGTTTTCTATGTAAATTATGTACGTATTTACAAAAAATATATCTAAGTATTTATGTCATTTGTACAGTACTCATAATACAAGCTCCGCTTATCTTAAGAATAGATGGCGCTGTGTGATTTGACCAGGGATAAATTTGTTTTTTCCTAAGAAATAAAATGGCGATTAAATATTTGTTATTAAAAATCAATATTGGATCATTTAAGACGACATGTCGAGAACTTGATTTGCTCTCATTATCTCGACCCACTTCTCAACTGAATAGGTTTGATGATATCATCCCAGAAATAGCTAAGAAAACTGTTTCTTGAGTATTGCAAAACCGCATTGTAGAATAACATGGGGAAATAGATTTCACTTCTTTTCTTTTCCATGATGCATATTACAAAACATGTTGACTACAGTAACTATAGTAACTTGACGCATATAGTATTATGATATAGTTATTCTTCGGTATTCAT